ACCCCACCACTACTACTCCCAACCCCACTACTACTACTCCCACTCCCGACCCCACTACTACTACTCCCAACCCCACCACTACTACTCCCAGCCCCACTACTACTACTCCCAAGCCAGCCCCTGTCGCGTGCCCCCCCCGCGTGCGCAAGCCATGGAACGTTCTGGACAGCGGGGCCAAGCGTTTGTTTCTGTCTGCTTTGGAGGTGTCCATGGACCGGGGGCTGTTTCAGCGGTTCCTGGCCATCCACAACGATATGGTGTCCAACAAGGAAGCGCACAACTCGTGTGTGTTTTGGTTTTGGCACCGCAAGTACATGCTCGCGTTCGAAGACATGCTGCGGGACCTCGGGCCATCGTTTGCGTGTGTGACCCTGACGTACTTTGACTGGGTCGAGGATTATGCCAACTTTAAGGCAAAAAAGTGCTCCAACTTTGGCACGTGTAGCCCCATTCTAAAGGACTTTGGGGGCGCCGTGCACACCAACAGCTCGACGCCCGCGTCGTCTGACCTACTCATATTTGACCACTCGTACCCCGACTTGGTCTGCGCGGACGCTAGCCCCAACAACCACTTTTGCCCCGTGGTCGAGCCCGGCGCCCGGTGCGACCACTGCCTCCCCCGCAATGCCACATCTTGGACCGAGGGATTGCTATCGGAAGAGTGGGATGTGGATATCCTCAAGGGGTACCTCCAGCTAGCGGAACCCACGCCCAGCATCAAGCAAGTGTCGGCGGATATTGAGCTTGGGGCCCACGGTATGCTGCACGCGCTCTTAGGGGGGGTCATGGGTAACCCGTACTCGTCGCCGGCCGACTCGATCTTTTACGCGCACCACACCGCCGTGGACATGCTCCACGCGATCTACCATCATTGCAAAGTTGAGCCGCTGGGATTGGCCGAAGACGGCAAGAAGTCTTTCATCCAGTCGTTTGAAGGATGTACCACTGGCAACGACGAAACCATCACGGCCACGTCCCGCGTCCAGTCTAAGGTCACGGTCCATGGCGTGCAAATCGACGCTGAAGACGACAAACTTGTCGGCAAGTACTTTAAGGACCTGCCATCGCAGTACTGGGAGCTCACGGATACCCGCGACTTTGGCGCGCGCGCGTACTCGTACCAGTTTAACGGACTCCTCGCTCGATTGTACACCAACTGCGGGGCGGCTGAGCCCGTGCCTGGCGCCAGGTCGGCCCATGAAATCGAGCACGTTCTGGTACTATGTTTTGCATATTTGAGAGATGTTTGACGGGAATATTGATGAGATGTGTATGTAGAGGTCGATTGATTCGCCGGCGGACCAGAACCAAGTAGACTTTAACAAGGAGGCGCTGGCCCAAGGCGCGAGCCAAGGCCTGACGCCGACGCAAGTGGAAACTGAACTGAAAAAGATGGCGCTGCTGGTCAAAGCGTTCTGCTTGCCAGGGTCGGTCGTGCCCTACTCGGACGAGTTCAAGGCTGTGTGGAAGATTCGCGGTAACGTTCTTGTGCTTCGTTTACCCGACATTTGGTGTTGACTTTTGTGAATATTGCATGGAAAAAACGTTGTTGGGTATCACACTAATTGAAGTCACACACTAATTTGATGTTGATCATGTCGATGTAGATCGCCGCCCGTCGGTCGTGCTGCTCGAAGACTTGAAGGCGGGTCGTGTGACCATGCAACTCGCCAACTGGCGCGCCTTCCTCGCCACGTACTTTGAATGCACCAAAGTGCCCGCGACCATTGTATAACCTTGCTTCATATTGTAACGTTGTTTTGGATGGCCAAATCCTCCGCATACTATTAATATTTTGCAACGTCTTCTCGCAAATGAGACATTTATAATACCGGTTGCAAATTGCGGAGAGGCCAAAACCATCTCATCAGTTTGCTACGGGTTATCCTGCATAATGTAATGCAACAATTTTACTTTATTTTGCAGTTTTCTTTGTCGGTGGATGCAAGATTGTCGCTCGTCCAAGTGCGCGAAGCAGCTTGCCATTATGATTAAAAATGAGGGCTTATCCGGATGAGAAATACTACAAAAAGGTGGTTGTTTGAGGAGGTTTTGGCAGTCCCCCATTGATCAATGTAGCCAGCCAGTGTACTGTAGCTACAGCACTACGGACAATTAGGATTAATATTGTGCTTTCAACCTAAATTTGGTAGTTTCAGTAGATTCGACGAACGACGTTAAATCTACCTGAAATCGTCGAGACGTCATTTTACTTAACACGTAAACTCACTGTCTCCGATACAATAATATGGAGAAGTTTGGCAATACTTAATGCACCAAAATACACGCACCTGCAATTTGATTGGTCGAAAGATTTTTTTTTTCGAAAATTTGATTGGCTACTTCGGTCCGTCGATTACTGCGTCGATTTTGCTTCGTCGATTCGATTGGCAGCAGCCCCAGTTCATTTTGAAATCGGATTACCAATAACGTAAAGTGTCAATTAATGGCGTATGTGCTAATCAATGACGTATAAAACTAAGCCAATCACTGAGCCCCAAACCAATCACAGAACAGACCTGTGAATATGTATACTTGTAGCCATATTAAAATAGAGTACGTCACCACTCACACCACGGTATAGAGGTATGACAAATATGATGAGCTATTAAGGTAGTGTATCGATTTTCTGGACGATTTCTGATCAACTTCGCTGTCATGTCGAATTTTTATGTTCTACGATTATGGCCTGAATGTATAATTCAAGCAGAATATTATGGTGTCAATGCATCAATCAATATGTTTAGCCAGTCATATTGCAACCTTAATTCTTTATAGCCAATCATACTCATTTGCTCGATGAATTCATCAATCCCCAAAATAAGCAAATTTGACTGAAAAGCACAATCTATCTGTACATTCATACTACTGTGGAGAAGGAATTTCAATTGCATATCCGGATAGACCGTCCGGATACAACTTTCGTAAACGAGGCGATTACAAAAGGCGCGGGCGTGGTCAACGTTCCAGAAGTGCCATTGTTCCACATATTATTCCACATTCGCGCCCATGCCGTCCGTCGTGCCTCCCGATCAAACGCTAGCGGAAGCGTTCAACAAGGTCTCCGGGACTGAGTTTGCTTACATGCTCGTGCCCGTGGTGGCATTGACGTCCGCTTTCTTGCTATTCTTGGTGGGGCTCAATCCAAAGCGCGCGGTGTGCTGGACGCCGTTTTGGCTCGTGCTTTCGGGGGTGATCCACAGCTTCTTGGAGCTGTCGTTCACGTTTTTCCGAGATAACCAGTACTTTGGCAACACCATGGACTTGTACTCGGCGGCAGACTACCGCTATGGCTTCCCCATGGAGGAAGGCACGGCCGCCATGGAAACTATCACGTGTGTACACAGAAAACCTTTTCCTGCGGCCTATATCATGTATCTGACAGAGAGAGTGCTTAGGGCGTTGTTGGACGGACCAATGTGTTTATTGGCAGCGTATGCGTTTGTGACCCAGAAGCCGTACTACCACCCGTTGGTCATGTCTGTACGTGATGTACATATATATATATGTATGCAGTGAGTAGTAGTTCATCATTGTCGCCAGGTGAGCATCATGCAATTGTATGGCTTGACGTGGTTTTGCCTGCATCCGTTGTTCTCGGACGCGTCGCACATGAGTTCCGACCCGGGTTTGTTTTGGATCATCTGCGTCGGATGCAACGCGCCATGGGCGATTTTCCCATCCGTGCTGGTGCACAAGTCGTTTACCGCAATTGTCGAACGATTCACCGAAGCCCCCAAGGCCAAATGCGCTTGATTACATACACACACCCACCAACATACAAATGTCTATTCAAGTAAGTTGGAGTTAGAAATCGTCGTCCAGGACAAATGCATGCTCTTGTGGGGCCGCCGGCGGGGCAACCAACTCGTCGCCGTCATCGTCGTCCAATGTAAACGACAAAGGCGCATGTTCAACCTATCATATTCCGTCACGACATGGCGATAGATCTCAATATGCCATACCTTTGATGGGCGAGCAGCTACCAAAGCAGCGTCGACATGATCGTAGCTGAAAAACTTGCCGTTTTGAAGCACTCGGTGGTTCTACTCGTGCAATCAGCCAACCACATCATTGGGGGCAATAGATAGATGTACCACATCAAGAAGCACATGATGGGGCATTTGCTTCATGGCCATAAACGCCTTGAGGGACTCTTTTACGGCAACCGTGACATGCAAGTGCACAATGCTTCCAAATGGAACCCACTCGTGGCCTTGGACGAGGTCCCATCCCATCACGGCATTGTCCGTGTTGATGAGGACGTATTGAATCGTGGTGGCGGATATGGACGACTGAGTCTTCTTGTAGTGCGTCAGGAGCTTTGCAATCGCCGCGGGGCATCGGACGCACGTCGTGGACCAGAAATCTGCTCCATACATAGTGGTGTCTGTCTGTGAGCCTCACCAAACCTTGTGGATCCGACCAAGTTGGACGCACCGATAACTGTCAACGTGCCCGCAGTGAGAAAGTCGAACAAGTGCATGGTCCGTTGTGTGGGCATGTGCACCACCTCCACATTCGGGTACTGCTTGAGGTGGCAGTCGTCATGCGTAGTGTGCACCACTTGCAATAATGGTGGGGGAAGGGAAAGAGGTGAGCTTGGGGTTGCTTGGAGTCCACCATCCAAGTTGGACAGGTCGTTGCTCGCGGCAAGAACTTGGAGTTTCTACGCAATAAAAAGGGGGGGAGGTTGGAAGTGTCCTCTGAGATTTGAGGCACACACTGACGAACCTTGTCGATAAGGACGTAATTGCGAGTTGGTTCGTCGTTGATTGACAATGATTGCTGCAATAGTGCCAGCGACGTTCTACCATACACGTCAGAAGGGCATGGATGGAAATGCAATATGTCTTCGTACGTTGGGACGTGGTAGTGGTGTAGGGTTTGTTGTGGAAAGTACAACTTCTGTCGATCGATCACGTCGAGTGCTTCGGCCGATGTCGCGCCGACGTGGAGTGCTAATACGTGTGTGGTGTCGAGCGATGACTCTAACAACTTCAACGCATGTTGTTGCACGTCCACCACGGTGGACTTGGAAGGTGCAGTCCAGAGCGCTGAATGGTCATGACGATCATCATCATCACACATATATGGAGTGGGGAAAATGTACCGAGAATGGCAAACGGCTTGTTCATGAGTGCACCCTGCAGCGGGATCACCTTTTGCGTGTATACATCCACGAGATCCACATTTGGAACCTCCTCTTTGCGACTCGAGTTTCTCTTGTTGAGTGTGGCATGTACTTTCTTGTCTTCGACATGCAAGTGGACGTCTGCCGCGGGTGGGAGGCCCATCTCAATCTTCACGGCAGTCATCAAGCTCTCAAGGAAGACTTCGTCATTGCGACAGTACTGCGAGGATGCCTTGATTCGAAGAGTCGCGATGGACGAGTCGTCGTCGAAGGAGTCGAATTCCACGTCCATGATGCCGCCGATGCCTTGAGATTCCGCGCGCTTTTCAAAATGGCGGCAGGAGTGTAGTGTCCTTCCGTAGCCTATGATTGGTCAATTTAGTGGACAGGTGTATCGAGTTATAGAGGTTTCTTGACCTTACCAACATTGTGCGCTGAATCGGTCCAGGTACATAACCGACCTATCCAATGTGCTTGATCGCGCTTTGGACCCCAAAGTCTAATGCACTGCGCAGTGTTATAATTCCATTCCAGCCTCAAACGATGTCATTGTCACTTGAGCTTGCTTCGAGGAAGACGTATACATCTCCCACCACCACGACAGGATATCGTTCCAACGACTACGTCAGCAGTACTGGTATGCTTGCGCAAATGCATTGAAACTACTTGCATCTTGATGGTACAGTCATTTGGTCAGTCATGCGCTTGTGCCGACAGTGTTGAATGCGTGAAGGACACCTATAAGTGTCGCTGTTGAGATTGTGAAGGCACGACCGTTAGATATGCATTATGCAAGGTTCTTGGGGAGTACAAATTAACCGAGGTATCCGAAGATAGAGGTTCGTCTGGGGAGCGACTTTGGGGCCATTCAGTCAGGTTTGCCAAGTGACGTCAATTCGATTCTCCATGTTTGCCCGACGACTGATCAACCCCGCGGCCGTCCGCGCCGCCCAGCGCTCCATGTCCACGAAGGCGTCCTCCATTAACGGCAAGGGACCCTTCAACGTCTTGTACAACACGATCATGCGCAACAACGTCACGTACGTGTCGGCCGTGATCGCGGGGACCCTCGTCTTTGAAGTGGTCTACGGCAACGTGACCAGCAGCATTTGGGAATCCCTCAACTACGGTCGCTTGTACCACCACATCGACTGGTCCCAATTCAAGTCGGACGACGACGAAGAAGAAGAAGAATAAATGCTGCCGCCCATACTAGATGCCGACACAGATCTCCTTCCCCTGTCGACGAGGCGGTTGTTCGTCGTCGTGCTATAGCAGCAGCAGCAACCGTCCGTCGGCCGGATAACGTGTCAACATCGAGGTTGTGTCCATATTTGTTCCTCTTGTCATGACGTAGACGGCTTGTCCATGTCCGCCATGATCATGATCGTTGCGCGTGTTTATGTCGATGATCCATCAAGTTTGGCTTACATCTTGGCATCGGGCAATTGTTATACACGAAGTGTCTTGCAGGCGAAACCAATCCCGATATCGTACCAGGTTCATCGAGTCCTGGAAACCTTTTCACTCGATTGCATGCAGACCGACGTAGACGGCGTCGGAGGGCACCATGATACAGCTACGTGGCGACATGCGTTCGAGTCGTGTGTGTAGAGAACAACATGCCGCCATTGCTAGCTTGAGTTGCATTGTGTTCACGAACTCGTTTGGTTCACATGCGTTGCCTGGTTGTCACATACACACAGCAGGTGGGCGTCTTCGAAGTACTTGCGGTGGCTGTGTCCATCCCTCGGCACACAAGAGCACAAAGGCAGGTCGTCTCTGTAGTTTTCACATTCATGCATGCATACTTCGACCAATTTGATTGTAAAAGCCGCGGGAATATTCCGTCGGCCGTTTCGTCGATTATCCGGACGATATTCGTTGAAGATTGGCACTTTCGAATTGGTTTCGCCATGTACTTGCCAGCATTCAGCTCGTGGGATGATGCCGCCGTGGCATCGTGGGGCATCGTAGGCACCATCTACGTACGTCAAGAAGAGTCGGCCCTTCGCCAAGTCCCGTCCAAGGAACAGATCGCGCTCTTGCGGTCCCAGCGTGTCGTCATAGGTCCATTCACGACGTCCATGTTGGACGAGGCTGTAACTTGGCTCGACCACGGCGCAGTGCACATCGTGCTGCAGACTACGTTCCAGGAACTCGTCGCGGGCATTGCGTCCGACCTGCCGCCCTCTCGCGTGTACTTGTCTGTATCTTTGACGGACAATGAACAGCTGGTCGCATCGACCGCAGCCGCCCTTGGTACACTTTCTAGCGGTGTGTTTCTCTCTGGAGAAGCCATCTCTTCATCGTCGCTTGTGCAGTTCCGAAAGCTCCTGCCCGAGTCCTACCGCGTGTTGCTTACCGATAGCCCCCTCGATCTCTTGGCGACATACCACCATCAGCATATCGACCTAGTCGGGTCGCCGTCTGCGCTCGACGCCGGGCAAGCGTTTGCGCAATGTTTGCGCAGCGACCGCCCCGATGGACTCTTCGCCACCGTCGTGGCCGATCTCTCCGGGGTACCGCATGCCTATGTCCCAAGTCTCTGTCATCTGACAACATACATTTCCATGTAGGTGGCATTGGGGTTGGTGTATTCCAGCATCGAGAGCGTTGTCGCCGCCGTGGCCGAACGCCGTGGCATCTTTTACAGTCGATCGCGGTATTGTCCTTTTACCTAAAAATTTGGACTTTGGGGCTGATTCGCGAAATCGATCTTTGATGAATTGTTTGTACCGGTACTGACTTTTGTATGTAAAAATCGTCCAGTTTCACACTAATTTTAGTCAATCACTAATTCGATGTTGAATTTGATGAATGAGCTGGGTTTTGATTGGTCGATCGATTGTCTGCCCATTTGGTTATTCTGCGTATTCGATCATCCAATTTCGAATCCACTGATGCATGTGTTGTTGTCAGGGGCGGACTGTGGCGCAAAGGAGACTCGTCTGGTCACGTCCAAGAGCTCGTTCGTTTGGACATGGATTGCGACAGCGACGCCATTCGGTGCCTCGTGCTCCAGCATGATGCGACCTCTTCCGCTCCCGACACGGGCGCGTTCTGCCACTTGAACACGCGGACATGCTGGGGCCATGCCTCGGGCATCCGCGAGTTGCAGTCCACCCTTCAAGAGCGCCTCGTTTCGGCGCCGGCGGGGTCGTATACCAAGCGTCTCTTTGACGACCGCACGTTGTTGCGCAACAAGCTGGTCGAAGAAGCGCAGGAACTTGCGGAAGCGGAACACCCGACCCATGTGGCCGAGGAAGCGGCGGACGTGCTGTACTTTGCAATGGTGCGCGCCGTCGCGGCCAACGTCACGTTCCATGACGTGGAAACCCAACTGACGATGCGCGCGAGAAAACTGTCCCGACGACCTGGGAATGCCAAGACGTACCGCATTGAAGCTGCAGCTGCCATCTTGAACGGGGAGTAACCAAACACACTAGAACACGACCTCGATAGATGCAGATAGACGTCGTTTACTGGTTATCGCGATTCCGCAATGCTATTGCCTTGACCTTGCGTTTGTACTCCTCAGGGTCGTTCTTCAGATCTTGGAACGGTTCGCGCTGCGCGGGGTCGGCCATGTTGGGTGAATCCAACAGGTCTTGCACCCCCTTGAGGATTTGCTTGATCGTGACGCTTGGTTTCCAGTCCTTGTCTTCGTTTAAAATGCTCAAACACACCGTACCCGACGGATACACGTTGGGATGGTACAAGGGCGGCACGAACTTGCAAAGGGGTGGCTTGCTCGGGTAGTCTTCCGAGAACCCCAGCGTCATTTTGTAGGTCCCGCCTTCCCAGATCGTGCCCGCTTTGCCTGGAATGCCGGCACTCCACGACATGATGTTCAAACTGCCGTCCTCAGACGCAATAGGGCGAGCCCAGAATCCTGCTGGATGATCGCGGCGCCAATTCTTGCGCTCCTGTCGCAATCGCTGGGCAGCCATAGAGTCTCCCATGTTGATGTTGTTTCGGTCGGAATGGAAATGACCGCAAAACCGAGGAATTCAAAAATCGAATATTAATAAGGCCGATTTGATCTCGTGTCAACAATAATATGACCTAATCACTTGCATTTTGTATTGATCTTCAAATATTCATGATAAAAATAACGTTTATGTTAACAAAGTGTGATTTAAACTTATTCACAGACATGTTTAACTAGCGGATGTCCTAAAACCGGGTGAGCAATTCATTGAAATGACAATCATTTTATTCTCGTTCAATATACAAAAAATATTTATCATACAATTACTTGTATGCATTCATTGAAAAAACAAAAACGACGCATACATTATAATATCTTCGTTTCCGCCGATCAAAATAGGAGGTTTACGCTTAAACAGAGGGTATTTTTTCTGAATGGCTGATTGGACCCGCCAAAATCACATGGGTGGGCCTCAAATGGCGGGAAATGTTTCCGGAACATCCGGATATACGTCCAATGGCATCGCGCCACGTGGAGGCACCACACTACTCGACCGCCATGGTAGTGCATTGGGTAAGACCCACGAGGTCCGTGTAGTTTTGCTTGGTGATGCCCAACGCCTCTATGATCTGCTCCAACCGGACACCAACCGGAGGCACATCATCTTGGTCTTGGTGTAGGCATAACGCTACCATCCCTTCTTCGTACCTCTTGACGAGGCACAGGAGGTGCAGGAGGGCATGTGGCATCAGTTCATGGCATCCACCGCTTAGAGGAGTTGGCGTAGGAGTGTAGCTCGCGTCAAAGCTTTGCTGCAGCACAACAGAGGCCATGGGCTCCATCCACACCACGTCGTCGACGTGGCTAGCCATGGTGGCTTGCAGTGCCAGGGGCAGCTGCGGAACCGCCGCTTGCAGGCTCGGACGCAAAAAGTGGTCCACAAAGCCAAACGTTCGAGTAGGCCCGAGGGTCGATAAAAGAGCGATTTCCATAGGCACCGTCGCCAAATGCAACCGCATTGTGGTCTCGACCACAGCCCACAAATCGCGTTCGTGCGTCATGTTACAGGACGTCACTTTGGCCACCGCGGCGTCCAACACGCCGTTGATCCAGCCCCGGCCGATTAAGCGGCAGTACCACCGCATCATGTCCTCCATCTTGTTATATTCAATCTGTTCATGGGTTCCTTGTCTGGACAAGAGCAAACTCCAGAATCGAGGCATTGTCTGCGATTCCGTCAGGACAAGAGTCACCCCCGCCATCGCAATCAACGTTTCGTGGTGGGTTTCGCATAACGAAAGAAGCGCCATCGCCGCGTGCATGTTGGGCTCCTGTATCACGCCCTTGAACTGTTGGACGATCGCATTGAACTCGGAGGCGTTTTGGACGGTCCGTTGGGCGAGTGCCGCCGCGCGCCCCGCCGCCGTCCGTTCCTGCCACATCCCAAACACCCAAGCCACCACGAGCGCGGTGAAAATGCTTCCCCAAATGCCAGACCGCCCCCCAAACGACTCTTCGCACACGCCCGGCAGCACGAAAAACAACGGGGTGCAGTCAGCCTCTTCAACCCCCCCTTCCACAGATGACGACGACAAAGACATGACATTCGTCATGGTGGTGGTGGTCATGGGTGGCGCAAACTGAATTGAAATCGTTCGCTTCACGACCGGAAACGTGGCCAAAGTTGGTGTCAGCGATTCAATTTTGAGTTTGAGCTTGGTCACGTGGGGGTACCTCACACTGTCGGTGACGACTAGGTCCGTTAACGCATTTTGTACTTGGGTCCACTCGCCTCGAAACGTCACTTGCGCCGAGCTCAGCCACAATCCAGTGAGCTCGTACTCAATCCCAGAGCTATTTGAGTCACGAGCCCAGCACACTTCGCCAAACTTGAGCTGCATGCCGCAATGCGCGGCACGACTGGCATTCCGCAACGGGTCGGACGTAATCGCTACCTTGGCTTCCATGCCGCTCTTCAACGTAACTCGCAGCATCACCTTGGGATGGAGGGGGCGCACCGAATGAAGGCGAAGGGAAAGCGTGACCTTCCCATTGTCCCGGGTCCGCACGTTGTACTGATATGGAGGCGCCACTAGTACGGCAGTTGTCATTGTAGTGGGGGGCAAGTTGGCAATCGGGGGATTCGTTTTTTTCTTGACAGTGGTGTTTGATGCAACCAATGGAGTCGGCCCGGACCCCGATAAGGGGGCAGCGGTCACAAAGAAGTGCACGGTCGCGGCGGCGGTCTTTGTCCCGGCCACCGCATACCCCAAAGTCGCGAACGGCTGGGCAGCTCGCCGTTCGACTAAATACGGATTTCCCCCCGGAATGTTGGTGTTCGAGCGCTTGGCTGGCGGGGTATACACGACACAGCCATCGTTCAAGACCGTGGACGCGACCACCTTTTCCCCTACTCCAGACGAGGCGCATTGCGACAGGGTGCCGAATTCTGGCCACTGCGTGATCACAAGGGGCGGGGACGTGCGGCGATTAAACGTAAATGCTCGCAGAGGGATCGTCATGGACGTGTCTTGCATCATTGTAATGGTTCGCTTGCGGTTGTTGGTGCCCATGTGTGGCAACTCGATCGTCGGCACTTCAATGAGTCGGCTCACGAGGAACACTTTGGACGCAATCGCAAACAAAAACACGTCCATGTCAATGGATGCGTTCGGAAGGGGGTACCGTGCGTGCAGGGGGGTCTTGGACCAGTCGACGGACGCCTGAGGCGTCGGGGGAGGGGGCTTGTTGGCGGCTGCCATGGCGTCTAGCTGGGCATAGATCTCCGTCTTGCGCAGTCGAAGAGCCGCCGAGTCTTTCAATTTGGACAAAGCACTCTTGATCCATCGACCAATGTCGCCAACGTTGTACACCCGGCCTGCATCCCCAAAGGAGATCCCCTTTGGGCTGATTTCGACCACTTTTTTCCCGTTGAACGCCAAAAACAGCCCGTCGAGTTGGGGCAGCGCCATGTACAAATAGTTGCCGAGGTTGTCGAGCATGGTCACTTCTCGGGGCGTCACGGTTGGGCCAGGGGGCGACGGGGGGGCTACGTAGGGGACTTTGCGGGGGACGCGGTGCTTGACACGACGGCCGTTGTTTCCAATATACAGTTTGTAGTTGCCGAAGACTCTGAGGTCGGCGAAGCCGCGAACGCCCTCCATGGAATTGTACGCAATGCATTCCCGAATGGACCCGTCCGCCTCGTAGTACGTCACTTGAAAGATAGTGGTCCAGGCCCCCCGGGTGGGATCGTTCGGGTTGATCGAGATCAAAAAGTGCACGATGGGGGGAGGGGGGTTGTCTCCATTTCGGGGGGACGCGCCAAACGGGATCTGGCATGGTCTGAACCCGCGTTTCTCCATCATCGAGTAGAAATGCTGCTCAAAGCACACTTGGACCGAGTTGTCTGGCTTGAGCACGTAAAAGATGAGCACGAGCAGGTGTCGATCGCTCACTTCGACTCGAAAGCCAGGGTTGCTGCAGTCGTCGTACGGCGACGAGATGGCAAACAAGTTGACGTTCACGTTGGACGCGGCCAGTTTGTACAGCCGAAACACCATCTCAAACGTCACCCCCCGCTTCCCCAGGGCTGGCTCGTAGAACGCGCGAGATTCCACCACATCGGATGATTGCAGCTGTACCATGTCGATCGCGTCCGAGGGGTTCCAGCGGTACCCGACTTGGTCGTCGCCCAAGGGAGCTACCAAGCCTGGAGTCGGAACGAGGGAACCGAACGGGCAGTTGGGGACTTGGGAGTCCAGGCTCGGATGGTCAAATGTGTAGAGGCACATGAGGGCGTCATCCTCGCGGCGCTGCAGGTATGACGTTAGGTCAGCCGCAGCGAGAAGGGACAAGGTCATGAGCCCAAGTGTCCATCGCAGTGCCATTTTATAAAGTGTCTAGGCAAGACGGATGAGGCTGGCGCAGAAGTCAACGCGCCTGAATGAGTTTCTGTCGACACATTTTTACGCTCTCGTTTGAAGAGTTATTACTTTCGCCGATGCAAGTACAACGAGGTGTTGTGTTCGTGGCTAACGTTATTAATATTTGCACAAAAAACTAGATTAACAGTAAATTGTGTTCGATCAGGAATTCACACTATTTACCGTTATTGGACAGTTCGTAGTTGTGTGATTATTTTCAGAACACGACTGGTATCGTACAGTCCCATTGTCGTCCAACATGCCTACTTTGTTCTGCGTGGTGGTCGGGGAGAAGAGTCCGTTCCCCGTCACGATCGATGCCAACGAGTCCATTTCAATGCTCAAGACGAAGGTCAAGGCGGAGAAACCACACACGATCCATTGCGACGCAGACGACCTGCAACTGTACCTGGCGTCCAAGGATAACGGCGGCACGTGGTTGAACAGCGACGGCGCCAAGGCTGTGACACTGGACGACGTGCAGGGCTTCCACATGATAGACCCAGCGGTGTGGATCCAGAACCGTGCGCATTTTGGGCCGAACTTTAAGCCAAGCGATGGGGACATTCATGTCTTGGTGATCGTTCCATGTCTCCGTCGAGAAGTTCGACAGGCGGCATTGAGGGCAACATTGGCCGACCTCGTAAAGAAGAAAAAGCTGCACGAACGCGACGACGATGATGATACATCGTCCTCGTAACCGTGGATATCGGCAGGTCTTGATGCGTGGCTCAAGGACGAGGAGTGAGATGGCGCCACTACTAGCGTAAACCACTATGACGTCGCTACTTTGGTTTATAAGTAGACCACCATACGTAGAGCTAAATAAATAGTACTCGGCAATATCCCAAGATGCTAATGCAAAGACGTTCCCAAAATGCACTTGGAGGTAGATGACCTGACGTGGCAGGCTCTGCGTTATTCATTTTGTGCAATGGCAATGGACATTTGAAACATGTGAGGCTCTCCCCTTGTCATTTCCATATACTGTACCCATGCGCCACAGATGTCATGCATCCGTATTTATGGAATGTAGTTCAGCATGTCGAGGACTCGGAATGGCATTGCAAGGGGGTTACATGCGACGACGTTACACCAACCAACGAACGGCGTCAAGCACATCCAATATTTATGCTCTTAGTCGATTGGGAAGACGAGCACCTAATCTTGCTTCAACAAGAACTCTTCCTTGGTCGTGCCGTGCGCTGTGATGACAAAGATTTCGACCTTGTCGCCCGTGTAGATGTCGCGCTCACCGGCGGTGACAAACGCGTCCTTGATTATCATCTTGGTCTGTTCGATCGTCAGGTCCACGAGGGGGTCGCTTCGGCCCTCGTGGGTCACCAAGTTGTCCAATAGAGGCATCATGAGGTGCCCGCCGCTGCCTTGCGCGCCGCGCGACGTGTTCTTGTGGCTTCCCACCGCATCATATTCATACACGGCACCCTTTCCGTCCTTCGTGATGCCGCACAAGAGGCAGAACGAGTAGTATGGGAAGAACCGGCGTTGGTACAGCGTGTTCATGAGCAGCTGCGCCATGGCTTCAATCGTCGGGGGCTGTTCGTTGTCATGCTGGTACATTTGCGAACGGATACCCAGCACTCCGCGAAGCTGCACCACGTCGTTGAAACTCCCCGGACTCGCCAGCAGCACGTTGGGGGCCACTTCGTGGATCTTGGTCTCGTCGCGGGACAGGATCGAGTACCCCGTGCTCAACCGCGTGTCGCCGGCCACGACCACAAAGTCCTTGCCGGCCACCGCAAGCACCGTGCCTCCGTTGAAATCATATGGCTCGAAGCGATGCTCCTTGGTCTTGTGCTCCATTGGGAGCTCCACGGGGCCCTCTGTCGTGTTCACGTGCGGGAAGGTCATGCTTCGAGTTGGTTGTTCGCTTCTGACCCCAAATATGTGATCCTCCGGTTCTGTATTTCAATTAAATATCGAGCGTTATAAAATCACAGCTGCATATTTTAAATCCATTTCAAATACTTTCTTGAACATGTTTGGTCTAGCATCTCAGACACTCGAAAGTACGGCGAAATCATATCTCAACTCGCGTAGCCCTTAGACAATCGAACTAAACGATCTAGCGTTGCCTATGATGCGCGATTTAGGGCATCTTGTGGCTGTTGTCGTGGGTTTATCCACATGCGAAATCCTACCTGTGGAATGATTTAAAATAATTTTAAACATGGGAAGAATTGATTTGAAACAAAAGATCACAAATCGAATACCAAAGGACCTGTAGAAGGTAGTATATGATCCGGATAGTCGTAATGTCCGGATACTCAACACGCACCACCAATTTCCCATCACGATGAAAGTACTCGAGGCGTCCGAGGGGCCGCTGACCAACTTTGAGGTCATGACGCTGTTAGAGGAGCGGAAGGGCAGCCGCATGGAGCGCAAGACGCAGGCTTCCGTGTTGTACGCGGAGCGCAACTGGATTGACTCCAAAGTGCTCAAGTGTCTCTCCAATTCGCCGGCGAAAACGCTGACCGAAGACAAGATTGCGCATTTTCTGTCCATGGTGGCCGGGTTCGAGCTCACGAATGCAGAGAAGCTTCAGTTCATCAACCACTGCCCCATGGAGCTGGTGGACGTGCACTTGATCATCGAAGATTGTGCCGAGCGGCTCACGGAAGTCCAGGTCGAGGAACTCATGGCGATCACAGCCGAAACCTTGGGCGCCACCGACGACGACGAGGACGTCCAAGTCGTGTAAATTAGACGAGGACGTCGAATGCAGAACCACATAAATTATGCTTCCCAACACACACGACTTAACGTTCCTCGGCTATCTTCAGCTGCTTGTGGCAGTGCCTCGTCCAGCCGCCGTTCGAAGCATGCAGCCTCATAAGGACTACCATCACCAAACGCTGTGAACATCGGAGAATAGCATCGAACAGTCGCCTCCTCGTCGATGCTAGTTTGTTTGGTTTCGCTTACATGAATAGTATTACTATACACAGTACTACTATGAAATAGGTCTAACTATTAATAATAATATCTCACGATTGGACAATTGGACAGGCCCATTATTTACAGTATAAACTGAACGGCCATACTATTTACAGTATAAACTGAACGACCATACTATTTACAGTATAAACTGAACGACCATATCATATACAGTATAAACTGAACGACCATACTGTTTACAGTATAAACTGAACCACGGTGTATATTATTCGGGTTGTTTCGAAGCGGCAATCGCGGCGCGGGTGGCGGGGAACATGCCGACGTACTCCTGGGTCGGCATGAAGCGCACGCTGATCTGGCGCATGTTGAACCAGCGACCATGGAGGCGGTGGGCGGCTTCCCGCGCCGCGGACACCGCGTCAAAGCAAATGTACACGAGCCCGCCGTCCTTGTCCTTTTCCACAAAGCTGTGCACCACCTTGCCGTATCTACACCAGTCATGTCAACGTACTTGACTTCACCGTTCTGTATTTAGCATTGACTACGTAGTACTAGAGAAAAATACATATATTGTGCTTTCGAGTGAAATTTCGTGTTGTGATGTGGTTTCTCGTGGGAAGTTAAATCGATTTGATTGGCTACCTCAGATGAGCTCAAAATTATTAGCCAATCAAAACCATTTAAATGAAATTCAACCAATCAGATCGATTGTGGATCGGTTTCATCGGCGCGATTCGATTGCACCCTCCCCAAATTTGTATCAAATCGACAATACATATATATATATACCACATGCAAACAAACGCAACCAAATCCACGGAGTCTTTTAATCGATAGCAAACAAATGCACACTTTTCATTGGCTATAATTCGCATGCAAGTCATCACATATCCAACCAATCCCCTTTCAAACCTCTTTAAACACCTACTAGTACGTACCTCGAGCACTCGTCCTCGACATCTTGCTGGATCTCGACGTGCCAGTCGGGGTTGCCGCTTCGCCGCTCCTTGAGCAGATCAAACATGTTTTTCACCACAAAGCACACGTTGTCAACGCCTTCAATGTCCCCGCCGGCCAGCGCCGCGGCCCGCTGCGCGACGGATGCCGCGACCGGCGGCGGATTGGTCACCGCCATCAGATTGTTGGTAGGCAGCAGCGTTGGGAGCGTCAAACTGGCGGCGCCCCCGGCCAGCTTGGCCATCAGCGCCGACCGACTCTGCGAGTTCAATGCGTAGCCCCCCGAGCCCTCCTCGTCCTCGAGCTTCCAGTTGCCGCCACCGCCGCCAAAGCCCTTGTTATTGAACGATGACGGACCGTTGTCACGCCTATCACATACATAAAATACACCCATTCATAAGATATCCACGCGTATATAATTGCCATATCATCCTCTTGTCCTGCACCCATCGGATAAGCAAAAATAGACACATGTATATAATATATAACCATGTTTTCAAGGATATAGTGGTCGAAAAGACAGTTTGATATGTGTTGGATCGTGTCGGTAATACTGACCATGACAATTACACCGAAATATATGAATATATATATTGATATATATTCATATATCATTCAAAATCGGATTTTCAATCAATTACACAATGGGATACGTTAATACATGTTTCAAACGGGTATAGGTACGACAAAGACGACGGTAGTAGGTAGGACCATACATACGCATCCCAACTACTACCACGTGGACTGTTGAATCGATAATAAAAATATATATACATGGATCTATTGGCGAGATTCGAAATATATATTTGATATATATATATACATGAGATTCAAAATATATATACATATATAACAGACGTACCCAGCATGACCGTACGCCGAGCCTTCGTGTTCGCGCACGGGACCGACCTTTAAAAAGTTGCCGGCCACTTCGAGCCCGTTGGCTTTGGTGAGCGCCAAGTTGGCTTCGTCTGGCGTGGTAAACTGCACAAAGCCAAAGCCCTTGGACCGGCCAATGTCGTCGCGATTGAGCGCCACCGACACGACGTCTCCAAATGCAGAAAACACGGCTTTGACGTCGTCTTCGTTGATGTTGCCGTGGAGATTGCCCACATACACCCGCGACGCCGCCGACAGCGACAGACCCTACAAACATGACCATGCAATGATAGGTATGACACCAGGAATATATATATTACATGATCCTACTGTATATATATATATATATACAGTACAGGATGATCGTCGGTATGTAGATTTTGGATATTACATATGATCCTACTGTATATATATATATATATATAGTAGGGATTTTGGATATTACATGATCCTACTGTATATATTATATATATATATATATACAGTAGGATCAAATGTAATATCCAAAATCAACACACCGACGATCCCATCGAGTTTGGGAAAAGGACATGGGGCCATATATTCTTGATACAAGCAACAAAAACGATCCAAACAATCAAAGGATCGATATATATATATATATATATATATATATAGTATACTCCTGATACAAGGCAAGCAAAAGTATGATCCGAACATTCAAAGGATATATATATATATTCCTGATATATAAGTCAAATTGAGCAAGATATATATATATATATGATCCACATTGGAATGATCAAGATATATATATAAATATACTCATGATATAAATATACTCTTATTTCAAGACCATAACAAAGCAAACAAGTATTCCAAGGCAGCGTCGCCGACAATATCTGACGGACTCGGGCTCCATGACATGCAACAGTCCCAGGGAGGGATATGAAGGAGGAGGAAAGGACATACCGACGCGCCGCCACTGCCCGCATGCGAGTACCCACTGGCGCTGGCTTTGGTGGTCGGGCCAGACGAGAACACGGCGTCCTTGCGCGCGGCAAAGTTCTTTTCGGCCTCGCTAGCCTTGATCAAGATCGGGAACGACTGGAAGGTCGGGATCTGGCCGTTCACGACGAGCACCTTGGGGATGTCCTCCAAGTTGGAGAACTCGACGTACGCGAACCCCTTGGACTTGTTGGTGAACTTGTCGCGGATCAGCAGCACGTGCTCCAGCTTGGCAAGTGACCCGAAAAACTTTTCCAGGTCGCGCTCCCGCACTTTCTGCGTCAACTGACCGACAAACACGGTGCGGTGGTCCCGCGTGAGCTCCATGAGTTCGCGCTGCTTGGCTTTCTCGATGCGTTCCTGGGACGTGCTTCGCTCGCGAGGTGGTTCTACATGATCAAGTTGATGAGAGAGTTTTTTTCGAAGATGGAGAATGATGGGGTCGCGGGTTGTGGTTTACCGACGGCAGCGACGTCCTTCTTGTCCTTGGACCTGGATCGAGAATTCGACTTGGACCGGCGACGCGACCGACGACTATCACGTGATCGTGAGCGAGACCGTTTGCGTCGACTATCTCTTTCACGTGAACGATCGCGACGATCCCGGTGGTCCCGGCGGTGTTCTCGCGAACGCGAACGGCGGTCGCGGCGGGAAGATTCTTTCGCCCGGCTTGACCGTGAGTCTTCCGCGGGGGCGTCGCCTCCTCCCTATACACGTCCAATGAGCATCATCACTCCATCTCTCCTTCATATCCCTCGTACTTGGGCGGTCTTGATGCCTTGCTCGAGCAGATTGTCGATATCGTCGTCCATGATGATTACCCAAAGGGAATTTACGCCGCGGCAGGGTTTGTGGTGAAGGAATACCCTGTCACATTTAATATCGAATCATTGAATGTGACAGGTCCTCTGGAAAACGCATAGAGGTTGCGCCGCCACCTCTACAAATGCATTTTTTGTATTTGTTTTGAAATCAGTGAATATTGATAAAAATATTCTACTACTGTTATTACTTCAAGTACTAATTTATTTTCAGCTATAATGTTGTTAGAATTTTACCTAGAAGTAATTTAAATATTAATAAAGAATGGATAAATAATAAAATTCGTCTTTTTTATCATCAAAAAAAAGATCATCCGGACAAGAATACCTTGCGATTTGTATGGGGTGCGAATGACATGGAGTTTGTATGCCCTTCGTTGCCAGCCCCATCTTAAGTCACTTGACGACAAGATCGAGGAAATCATGAGTACCAACGACGCCGACCGCCAAATCAAGCAAATGGTGAACTTCATCCTGCAAGAAGCGCAGGAGAAGGCCAACGAGATCCGCATCAAGGTACACACGAGCCCCCTCCTCTTCTCACGTGCGTCATGCCCTGATCCTAATCGTGTCTGTGCGGCGTCGCTTGGTAGACCGAACACGATTTCAACTTGGAGAAGCAAATGTTGGTGCACAATGCCAAGCTCAAGATCCAAGAGGAATACGCCCGCAAGGAAAAGGAGCGTGAAATCAACAAGCGCATGTACGTCTTATAGATGCACCCTTCTGTCAAATCCGCAGCAGTGTTGATCGTGTCCTTCTTGCGTAGCGCGCGTTCGGCGGAAATTGGCGCGTCCCGCCGCAAGAAGATGATTGCCCGTGAAGAACTGCTGCAATCTTTGATCACGGAAGGCAAGGCGCGATGCGCCGAAGCAACCAAGAACGAAGCGTCGTACCGCACGTTGCTCCGTGACTTGGCTGTCCAGGTGAATCCATCTGCCGTTTTATCTCGTCCATCTCCGTCGACCCTTCTCTCATCGCATGAACGCATGCACGAATGTAGGGATTGATCAAGTTGCATGAAACTGAGATCATGATTGTCGTGCGCAACAAGGACGTGAAGTTGGTGGAATCGTTGCTGCCGGAGATCTTGTCCAACTACGCGGCGATCCTCAAGCAAGAGACGGGTTTGGACGTGAGCAAGACCCACTTGACCGTGTGCAAGGAAGAGCGACAGCAGCTCCCCGCGACTGCCGCCGGAGGCCTCAAGCTCGTGGCGCGTCAAGGCAAGATCGTATGCGACAACACGTTAGACACGTACGTAGATCGTTGTGTCTATGGATTGTGCTCATGACGACAAGTGTAGGCGCTTGTTGCAAGTCAACTACGACCAGAAGCCCACGATCCGCCACATTTTGTTCCCTGAAATTAAAAAGTAGATTCGCGGAGAACTCCCCCATCATCATCGGCTGCATCCTGCGTTGTGTCCAATATAACATGACGCTGGATGGTGGACGGACTTCTTCCATAGTGTTGTTGTAAACGATCCCAAAATCTATCGATACCTAGAAACAGCCACACCCCTAGTACACCATGTCGTTTGAGCCACAATTTAGTGCTGATTATACTTACCGGTACACCTGTTTGGGTTTAAAACACCTAAACGACTATATATATATGGGGGAATTATTCGGAAAAAGGGTGCTCGCATTTTCAGTCAGCGTTGAAAGTGAGAGTTTGATTGGCCACTTGATTCGTATTCTACGTTATGATTGGTCGATCGATTGTCTGTCGACTTTTACTCATTCCATTCACAGTCGAAATTTCGAATCGAAGTGACAATAGTGTATTACTTGTACAAGTACTTTAGTACGTAGTACCACATCAAGAAGCCATAATTGTACCGGTTAGTATGAAAATAATAGATTGTACTAGTATACTACTAGTATGTAGTGTCTATAATGAAAAGTTGTACTCTAATAGTATGCTCCCGTATACTTCGAAGTAATAGATTTAAACGTGATCAACTAGGCTCCCGTACGATTTAAAATCGATAGTTTACACTTTATATTGCCTGCTTTGTACATCACTGTGGTCGCATGCAGGACAGCCACAACATTATCGATATATTGCCAAGATGGCACTTATATGTACATGTTAGTTGGTGGAATGAGGTGGGTCAGCACACAGTGCTGCACTTGGCATCTAGCTTGAGCGTGGCGATGGGGTCGGCTCGGGTGGGTCCGATGTTAACAATCGCCAGCGGCACTTTCCACTCGGCCGCGCGTCGGGCGAAGCGGTAGCCTGAAAACACATGCAGAGACGACCCCAGGACCAGCATCGCGTCGCTTTGTTTCACAGCGTCGTAGATCTAATGGAACTTATGAGTCTGCAACCAAAATATAGTATGTTTATATATATATATATATATATATTATAGAGGTACCATGTCGACCTTGGGCGTGGGGACGCTGTCGCCGAAAAACACAATGTTGGGCTTGTACATGGCGTGGCCGCAATATGGACACACGGCCACGTCGAACGCTCGTTCCAATTCCTATGCATATAATCAATAAATCAATATCCTTCATCAATATATATATATATATCTAAAAACAACAAAGATACAGCAACACAACATCGATAGCGTATATATATATAATATAAATGTATATATATTTACATATCAACATAAACGTACAGGTGACAAGAACATGTCGGCGTCGGGCCGCATGCGGTTCTCGTTGGTATGGTCGTTGTTGAATTCGTTTTCGTGTTGGGTGTTGATATATTGAAACACCAAGTCTTGGTAAATGGGGTTTAAATTGGACAAAATGCTCTGGAACGTGTCGCGGTCGATGGGTGGCGCCGCACAGCCGGGCTGCATGCACCGCACTTCCTCGGACGACCCGTGCAACTCGATCACCTATGTATGCATCTCGTCTTTAAAACGATGGTCAACGATATCGCATACATCTCTACTCCCGGCTTTCGTATGCAGTCGGTCGACGTTCTGAGTCACTAGTGTCACATCCCTGTGCATGGTTGTGGTGAGCCCAATGAAACCTGAATAGAATTATTGTACTACCAGAGTCCAGAGTTTTGCCACTGAGACAAGACCCTGTGGTTGGCGTTGGGCTGCACTGCGCGCCATTTATCCCGAGCCATAAAGTTGCGCGCCCAGTACCGTTGACGCGTCTACGTAGCCAAGACTTGTCATGGACAGACTCCTTGGGTGGCATTGTATCTACCGCAGCGCTCGTCATAAAGTCCATGTGCTGGATCGGACGGTGGTTCGCCCGCGCGTACAAGCCAACCCCTTCCGACCGGTAGTCTGGGATCCCACTCTCCGTGGAGATGCCAGCTCCAGTTAGCACCACGACCTTCTTTGACTTGGCCAGCAGTTCCTGGAGAAGTTGAAGTTCCAACGTCCGGGGCTTTCCGTGTGCGGGGACATACGACGATAGCAACCGTCGGCTGCGTCGACACGCGCCTTGCTGCATGCGATGATGGTGGCAACGTTTCAAGTGGCCTCAAAACGCACCTAGTATTCGGTAATCTGCACCATGTTGACGAAACTATTTCGAGTTTACGCACTGATAATCCATTTCAACTGCGAAATCTAGTCGACTTCGTGAACGTTCCGGATAGGATGGCGAAAAGTTCCGGATACCAAAATCAATAACCGTACAAATCGACACGAACGCAAACTTGACATGCCACACCAAACTTGACTAGCCACACTTGTCTACACAACTGTACGAAGAACTGGATGGCTTTGGCACTGCGCCTGACGTATACCGTTCTGCCACGTTTGGCCGTGCATCGATTTTCCCGTGCTGCCGATTCTGTCGAAGATGCCGCCCTCATCGGCCAACTCGCCGCGGTGCTCGCATCAAACTTGCCATTGACCTCCCTCTCGCTGTCAGCTGATGAAATCTCGCTGGTTGTATCTGAAGACGCATTGTTGCCTGTTGCCGCCACGTCGACTGAGGCGGGATGGACAACGTTCAAAGTCGAAGGCCCGCTCGACTTTGCCTTGACTGGCATCTTGTCGTCGCTGACAGCCCCGCTCGCGGCGGCGGCCATTCCTGTGTTTGCCGTTTCCACGTACGACACTGACTACATTTTGGTCAAGTTCGACAAAGCGCAAGGTGCTATTGACGCGTGGCGCACCAGCGGCATAGCTTCCGTGACCACATCCTCGTAATGCAGAAACCTCAGAAAGACGTGCATTGAACTCGACGAAACAACGTGGATGTTGCCATCATAGTATAAATCCTTTCTTGTCGTGCTATCGTTATACGGTCGGTCGTCGCAGGCGCGCCCTAGTAAATATGGACCATGCCGTACCCCAGCGTCCAAAACAAGACGAACGACACGAAATGGCCACCGATGCCGTAGAACAGGAACGAGTACCACTTCATGTTGAAATACGTCTCGACGTCGAACTTCATCTTGGCCAGCAGCGCCACGGACGTGAACACGTATAGCACCACCATGAACACAAACCCATGGAACGCAGTCAGGCCGATCACGCCGGCCATGCTGCCGGCGACCACGCACATGGCTGTCTGCGCGAACTCGACTACACCTTCGTTTTTCTGAACATTCTCCACGGAGAAGAACTCTTGCCCTTCTTGCGGCGCTTCCATGTTGGACTTGCTTCGATGTGGATGAGCTGTGTCCTCAAACGAGACTTGGTGACGATTATCCGGATACCGGATGGTATTATCCGAAATATACCGTTTTATCGGGAAATGTCATCCGGATACCTGGCATTCTCTGAAAGACGTGGATAGCAAGCAACCATGTCGGCCCAAAATGAAGTGAGCCTCATGGACTTGACGTTGGAGCAGCTGAACAACCTCAAGACACAGTTCGAGCAGGAGCTGCAGCAACTAACGTCCTCGTTCACAGGCCTCCGAGAAGCGCAGACCCGTTTCTCCGACTCGAAGGTCGCGCTGCAGTCGCTGCAGCCGGCCAACCTCGGCAAGCGAGTGCTCGTGCCGTTGACAGCGTCGATGTACGTCCCTGGGAAGCTGACCAACGTGGAGACCGTGCTCGTGGACGTCGGCACGGGCTACTTTGTGGAGAAGAACGTGGAGGAAGCCAAGGGGTTCATGGACCGCAAGGTGGCGTTCCTGCAGCAAAACACCGAGTCCCTCAAGGACGTGTTGGAAAACAAGCGCACCAACTTGGAAGCTGTGATCCAAGTCATGCAACTCAAGATGCGATTGGCAGAGCAACAGGGAAAGTAATAGATTTGTGTGTAAATAATATGACCAATTGATTCAGAAAATGGCAGCCCCCAATCCCCCTACTCGAGTTGACAGGATTATGTACCGTATCCAAAGCGCGATTGGGAGCGCATCTGTGACATGGTTCTACAGGTCCAGCAAGAAGATTGTGGCCCCAAAGGCATGCCCAAATCGTACATCGTATATGAGTTCCGACTGTGGCGAAATGCCCACATGGAATACTAATACAGGGATATTGGTTAAAATAGTACTTCAGTAGTTTGTCACATTTGTCCCTAAAGTGGCGCCTCTGTTCCGACAGCAAGTGGGTCGTCACGAGGATGCTGGCATCGACCAACAGTCCAAGACGGGCCTCGGAGTTGATGTTTGAGCTCCCATTCCACGCATGACTGTATGAGGTGGAGCGACCGCCTGGGGTCGTGGCGCTACCAAGCGTCGCTGGATGTGGGGTTGCACGACAACAACTTACTTGGGCCTCAGGTTCGAATTTTGGGGACGAGTTCCACTTGGTCGTGGGCTGAAGAGCCATACAGGCGTAGGGCCGTCAGCTCCTGGTCGCGCTTAGCTGGCGCTGGAGGGTCGACCCACTTGGACTGTTGACTTTGGTGAAGCTATTCCACGGCTTGGCCTCGACCTGGACACGCCGCGGCAGTCTCGCTCGGAGAGGGGGGCACACGCTTGGAGATTACATTTGTGGTACCATTCGAACCGCGGTCGAGGGCTTGGGCGGCGGTGGTAGCAACAACATGACGCAGCATCATATGTATGCGTTGATGAGCAAAGTGATTTTCCATGTGGTCCGTCTGGCCATACTATGTCGACATTGCCCGCTGTCAAGTGATGTACTTGTTGCAGGGCGCCATCACCCGCTCTTGAGAGGATAGTCCTCCTTTGTGCGACGTAGTGTTCTGGCCTACTAGTATCAGCAGCCTACACTACAGTACCCTTCCTTCCTTCGACTAACTTATGCGCTAGGTCCAAAACGCTTGGTGGTGCATATACGAGGTTCATAGTACTGTACCACTGACACACACACTGTGACAAGTTGGACAGCCAGCAAAAGATTGTGGCGTCCTTTGACAGGATTGAAAAAAAACGGAAATCTGAAACGGCTACTATTTTCGTACATGTTGCGCTATGGTCGTCCGCATCAAGGTGCGGGTGTTTACGTTCTCCATCGATCCAACCGTGGAGCACTCGTACTTGGTGGGCAGCGCCGCGGTATCGCTACAGCTACAGACATACTCTTCGCCCATGATGAAGAATGCATGTAGGGTGGCCTGAGTTCTGCCATTGGGATGATCGTCCTCGAAGACGACGAAGACTTGACGTTCGAGTCAGTGCGGCCGCGGATAGAGCTCAAGGAAGAGAATGGCCTGATTCGGTGACGTATTTCTGTATGGGCACCCCCATCTGAGACGGAATGTCCTTAGGCGGAACCCCATGTTCCAGGAAGCGCTGTTTCAAATGACCGAAGCTCGAAACCCGCATCAGTGGCCAATGCACACATTGCAAACGTATTGGCTTGGGTACTACCAGCATGAAGACGACCCGACGCCGACCATCATCCGTGTACCATGCATGTCCACACGTCTTCTTCATTCGTACGCCATATCCATATCGTGATGCCAATTGGGGGTTGTTTAGACCGAAGACACGTCATCCAAGTGTCTCCGTGACGTGCTCGACATGAAGTCGACCAAAGTGACGGCAGATTTGATCGTGATTCCGCAAAGTCAAATCGGACCTGTGTGCTCCCAATGTTGCCAACGGTGTGCCCTCTGCCCCTCTATCCAACCACGTCAAACGACATGACCACCATAATACAAAATACCACGTGAGAAACAACCAAGTGCATATCTTATTCGCATACTTATTAGTATACGGTATACTTACTGTAGACACGAGTTACCCCCCAACAGTGTCGCATGCAGCACCACTATGTACCTACTTGATGAAAACTGTACAACGCAACTTACTGCGTGTCTTCTGCCTTACTGTTAATACGTTTCTTGACGGTAAAGTGTACAAGGCAGTTAGTTGTTGTCTCGGCGAACAGCAGCATACTAGTACTTCGAAGTATGTACTACTAGTACGTACTTGTACAGTTTGTATACAATAATAACGTTACAGCACTGCATAACTCCAAGGTGGCAGGCACTAACTACTGTATTGGTACTGTACAGCAATGCATGGCACCCCCAAATTCGCAACATAGCAGCCATTGCGAGAGGATTCATACAGTAGTATGGTCCTGCTTTGTGGCTTATTAGTCGTTACTAGTCCGAGTCGCTGTCGTCGTTGCCCATCATTTCCCATAGCTTCATGGCCATTTCCGCGGCCCGTGCCCTTCTCTGGTCGTCAGACACGCCTTGCATTTGCGATCGAATTGCTTGTACTTCGTGCAACAAAGTCTCAAACTCTTCGACGCCGTTGTTGTTGTTTGTATTCGCGCTGGGCTGCGCCGAGGATGTTGGGATGGCGGTGCTCGAGACGGATGGGGGAGCGGCATTGGAGGATGGAAGTTCAGGAGGGGAAGGATCCGGCTCGGAAGAAGCGAGGGCGTCGGACGAGATGGCGGCCGAAGCCGCATGGCCGTGCTTCATTTCCATGGACTTCCACATCGTGCACTCCAATGCTTCAACAATGCGCGCCATGCCAGTCGTTCCGTCCTTCGATGCGAGATCGTCACTCGACGAAGCAGCAGGTTCACTCGACGCCAAATCTACTGCCACATGCTCCACGCCACGCTCAAGGCACCAGTCCGTCGCGTTTTCCATGTTGATGGCGATGTTGGACCCGCATGCCACGGCCATGAGAACATCAAACGAATGCTCGCCCATGCCTTCGACTGCGTTCTGGACATGACTCCATGACGACTTGTCGTTTGCATTCCACACGAGGAGACACGCTTCATACGCCGTCCAGTCGCCACTGAACGGCTGAGAGTGCACATGGAATTCCACTGCGGCCGTGTAGTACTTGGTCGAGATCGTCGCTGGATGAGCACGGAATGACGACGCACCCTTGGTCCACGAGATCCCTTTAGAAGCATCGACTTGCCTCACAACGGCCTCGACCAGCCCTTCCTTGCCGACACCTGCCGCGCCGAGGACAAGGACCTGACTCGATGCCGCCATGGATCCCAAATCGAAATTGTCGAAGCTGCGGGCAACGTTAACGTTACTGTAGTGTTTTCCATGCTTTTCATCAAATGTTTAGATTAACTGTAAGTATGATTAATTGTTTTAACGTTATATGAAATTGTGCGTCCCGTTTAGCTCAGTTGGTAGAGCGCAGGACTTTTAATCCTGTGGTCGCGGGTTCGAGCCCCGCAGTGGGAGTCACTTTTTCGTGAATTTTAGTGAAAATTAGGCGCTTTTACTGTGGTTTGTGGTTTTTATTGCGATCAGTGCATCATTTCCCAAACACCAAGCAAACCACGACGATGGTCGCGGCAGTACTATGGACTGGCGGCAAGGACTCTGTCATGGCGATGATGGACGCTATGGACCAAGGCTTCGATGTGCAATACCTAGTGACATTCGCTCCCGAGAATCCGAGTTTCAAAGCGCACCCGCTGCCACTCATGCAACGCCAGGCGGCCGCGGTGGGCAAACCGCACCTGATCAAAACGGTAGTTGCGCCGTACGCCGACAGCTACGAGCAGCACTTCCGAGATCTCCACAACGAGCTGGGTGTTACGTGCATCGTCACAGGCGACATCGACTTCATTGGGTCCTCCACCACCAACTTCGTTCAAGAACGATGCAAAGCCGTCGGCATGACCAGCGTGTTTCCGCTCTGGCAGCGTTCACGAGACGAACTCCTGGCGACACTATTACATCGACAACTATACGTTGTGTTTTCTTGTGTCAAGACGGCCCCGTTCGAGCCCGTGGCAAACTGGCTCGGCCAACCCATCAACGAAACCTCCGTGGCGGCGCTGCGCCTGGTCACACAGGACGACAAGAACATCGACATTTGTGGCGAAAACGGCGAGTACCACACCATGGTGTTGAACGGTCCTTGCTTTCAACACGCAATAGAGTTGCCAGCGTACGACATTGCCACCGTGGACACACTCAGCTACATGCAATTCCCCGCCGACTGGTGTGATGCCCCTTAGTGCATACAACGTGTACAGACGTTACTTAGTACTAGTATATGAATCCACCGCTCCTTTAAAAACTTGCAGTTCATAGATTACTCATTGATGTTGTAGCTGGGACATCTCTCAGCGTACTGTTTACAAAAATTGACTCCCACTGCGGGGCTCGAACCCGCGACCACAGGATTAAAAGTCCTGCGCTCTACCAACTGAGCTAAACGGGATGCTCTGACAGGCTTTCGAACGCAGAAAACTTGTAAGATGACATGATGGTAATTTTGCAAAAACTTCTAGGGCGGGCAATTCAATGGCGGCGATGTTGGAACACCCACACGATCATGTAGAGGACGTTATAATTCACTAAAGCACCGTGCTTGTGACAGTTGCGAGGGGGGGAGCGGAAGAATCCAATGCCATTGTGTCCAAGACGCACCGTATATAAACGCTTGGTGGTGAGGGCCATCGTAACGACAGCGCACAGCGGGCATGATCACACCTTGCGAGGAGAAGGACGTGTTAAAAAAACCGTAAATCTACTGGGGAAGGAGTGCCCCCACGCCATCACTCGTGCCAAACTCGACAGTTTCTGAATCGTCCAAGGTTAAGTAAGGCAAGCAATTGGCCCACGAATTGGTACCGACCCATGACGGGAACCCCAGCCACGACACCGAAAACGATGGCGGATTGAAGCCACATGCCCACGAGGCGCCGTGCGCTTGGCTGCACGCTGGCTGATGGCTTGGACAATTGAACAAACGCCGAAGTCACCTCCATGAACCCCATGGCCCACGCCAATTGTTTGGTGCTAACGTGGCCTTGGATCGCAGCGTCCGTACACAATTGTCATCACTTGACGTACCAATTGACACATCGAGATTTGCACAAGCATGCTCGCTAAGTAACCCAAACTCCAGATTCACCGGACAGATTGATTCTGCCAACTCGACGTTGCTTCTTGGCGGGGATGGGCTACCACGTTCAGTATTGGAGGGGAGCTGGAGTGCGTCCATGCTGACCGACTGCGGAAGTTTTTTGCCCTTGCGCTGTTAAGGGGGTCTCGTATGTGGTCGATTAGGGCTTTGGACGCTGGCCGGGTCGTTCTATGGATTTTTGCGCTCCAACGGTCGAAGCCAATCAAGCCATCTTATTATTGAGGCTGTTTGGCGCCGTCAATTTGTGTGTGTTTGGATTTCCGACCGCGTCGTAGTTTGCATGGCACGTTATTTGGGCCAGGGCAACCCTGAAAATGGCTAGCGCATGCTTCGTCTGGGGCTGAAGATTGTCGTGTCCCGCTCGGCGGCGCTGTGTGTGGCGTGGGGCACGTCCAGCCGTGCCTTGTTCGTGAGCTGTGTACTTTTGGTGTTTATTTTCTTACAGCAGCCATGAATGCTTTGACAAAGGCAGACTTGAACTTGATCGCCAACATCGTCGCATCTCGGGGATTGTACGTACCGTTGAGTTACATGTATATGTTGCGACTGGTTTGCGATAGGGGGCTCAGTGGGTTTTGGTGGGGCAAAACGCTCAAGGCGCTGATTTTACTGAGGGTGCTGTCGCGCGTTCAAGGGGTGGAAACGTTCATGGCAGCCCAAACAAACGCCATAGGTTTGGACCCTGTCGCTAACGAAGGTCACGAAGTAGACGTCGTTGCTGTGAAAGGTTACAGTCGCCCAAGGCAGCGTTGTTGAGTCCTTGCCTTCGTACTGGTCGCTATCGACAGAGACCCCACCATTGTGTGTGCATACTATTGCCAAATACTTGACTAGCCAGAAGTATTCAAAAGCATATAATGCAAAATCATGTTGACAAGTTGTTTGAGGATGCCTATAACAGTAACGTTAGAAGAGATAGTTGCCCATCGCATCAGGACAGTACTAGTACCCTGCCGTCCCTTGGGTTCACGATTGCAATAATCCTGCCGTCGACCACCATACTAGTAGTCACAATGAGAATATAAGTGTGGCCGCGAGATACGAACTAACTCAACTCGGTACTTGACGGTGATTGGGGTGTCAACGAAATCAACTAACGTTTGAAATTCGAAACCGTCAAAATGTTCAACCGGACATCATCCGAATAAACTTGATTTTGAAGTTTTGAAAACGCGAGAGTGCAACATTGACACATTTGACCTCGGCGCGCGCAAGTCCTTCCGCGCACTCTTCCGACTCGCGTGCAATCCACAGAGCCCCGTCTGTATCATTAAACACTCCCAGACCATCAACATGCTGGTACGTACGTCCATGCCAATGCTGTGCATTATCCCCTCGTTTTCACATGTGTGCATACTGCTGCGTAGGACGTCAACCGAAGCCGACTGGACATGCAGGACAAGACAGACTCGTCGACGCCAAGCCTCCTAGAACACATCTTGTGGAACATGGAAAAGTCGGATCCTTGCCTGGTTGTGCCTCCGATCAAGCGACGGCTTGTGTTCACATGCACTGGCAGCGAAATCAAGCGCAAGCTTGTGTTCTCGTCACACAAAACCGTCAAGCCACTTCGACCGACGAAGCGCGAGCTTGAGCGAGAAGCAGCGAAAGTTCTCGAGCAATCCAAGCAAGACGAGTCTGCAACGCCGTACTTTGCCAAACTTGGACGGCGAAAGCGGCAGCTGTCGTTTGACTAGACAGTTTGTTTCAATAGGAGACAATCCCCACACAAAATAAATCCCCATAGAGCATCACCCCCCACCTCCATTGAGCGTTTTTTCATATCATGCCCGAAACTAGATGATGCACAAAGGTTGAACCATGCTTTGCGCGCCAGATCAAACGTTCATGTCCTAGCTTAACAACAACGCTACGTTGCCAACTACGTACAATAAGCACCAGCGCATGGAGTGTGGTAAGGCTAGAGTCTGATGCAATGTGGCCAAGCGTCATAGTAACAAAAGTCCCGTCAAGTCTTGCGAACGCATCTCCTTGCTCACAGATCAACCAGTCTCGCTGGTATGGTATTGATGTTGAGTGTAAGCCATCGACAATACTGTGCCCTCGGGCACAACTTCACTGGGCACACATCCTCGGGCTCTGGTTCGTCCCAATCGCAACCCCTTCCCCAGCCGAATATCCTGACTCTATTCTCCAAGGAGCCCAGCTCCCACCCGCTCAATGGCTCTCGCGATCCAACAATTGGGCCACCCATGGCATGGCGCAGGACCACCTTGGACACCAAGCTTGGCAGCTCATCCGCGCGCTCTCCCTCCGACACCTCTGGAATGACCACTGTGCTGCACATCACGACAACTTGCACGCATCACCCCCGCTAGGGACTTTCCCATATTCCTTCAGGCCCAATTTGAGGCCCTGGCGAGTTACCGCACACGCCGCCGGCACCACCTCTCCGGTGAACTCTACCAAACCCTGATCCTCCAGTGCCGCCGCTTTTTAGCAGCACCGTTCTCTCCACCGCGCGGCCCGACCCCATTGCACATGGAGGGGATGGTCTTCTTTGATGGCGCGGCCCGTTTGGACCGGGCGTGCGGTGGATCAGGGGCCTTGGTTCTGGCCCGAGAATTCCCTCTGCTATGCGACTACGATGCACACTATCTCCCGATGGCTACGACCAACAACCAAGCTGAGTACGATGGCCTGGTCCGTGGTCTAACGTTAGCGCGGACCCAAGGTTACATTCATCTTACCATCTATGGCGACAGCCAACTGTTGGTTCGACAGATGATCGGGGTGTACCGCGTACATCATCCTGGGCTTCGGTCTACGTATCTCCAGGCCCGCTTACTCGCGGCTCAGCTGAAGTGCTCCCGGCGACATAGGCCACGGGAAGGAAATCAGGCGGCAGACTTTTTGTCCAAGCTAGCGCCCATGATCGAGCCTCCTATACCTCCCTGTCCGGACCCCAGTGCAACCCCATCCCCCCCAGCCAAAAGGCCCCACTATTCGATTAACGTTACTTGGATCTCGATCCCGGGTGAAACCCTCTCCCGATCTACCCACCACGCGTAGCTTTGTCTGTATAAGTTCCTGGTAATACACATCATCACATCAAAATCCCTCATGAACAGTCTAATGAAGCGCTCCAATCAATTGTTCAGTGCGCGATTCGGGGCCATCACAAGCACTTGACTGAGACTTCCAAACCGGTTGCTGCACGTTTTTCGCCTTACTGTAGGTCTGGAGAAGCGACCTGAAGTGTGAGCTTTCACTGACTTGGCCATGCCAGCTAAAAGTTACTGTACGTTGGCTACCAATATGTACACACTTTGGCGGTGATTCTTGACGACGTAACTACGATATGCAAGCCACTCGGATGTGACAGTAGTTGGTGGGTTATGAGATGGAGTCAAGTAGCAGTGAGTGAGTACACACACTTAGGCTTGTTATGGCCACCCTAGTTGCATAGTACAGAATGCTTACTACTACTGTTCAACACTACTCCTGTCCTATTCTCTGCCCACGAATGGTTCGCCTCAGCGTGCGAGGGATGCACTGTCATGCTGCTGAGTCGGAAGGGGCGCCCTGTGACTTCTACGAGAGTACTGCGAAGGCATGGCGCGCCTCCAACATGGAGCAATGGCTTCTACAGTACGAAACTGGACGTCGTGGGATTGTCGTGGTTGACACGCATGGTAATATTTCGGCGGCGGGACGGCATAATTATTTGAGTGCCATGTCAAGACCGCGCTGCATTTTAATGGCGTTTGGGTGGCTGGCGTGGATATTATTATCCGGGAAATCTGGAACCACTTTTATCCGAATGTTCAATGTTACATACTTTTGCCAAGGTAAAACCGTCGAGATTCTCGCTGACGACAGAGAAAAACTGGCCTTCTTTTTTCGAGGGCGACGGCACGAAAGATCTGGAATAAAAGTACGCAATTTAATGCACGTGGGAATAAAAGTTTGGCCGCGCTTGGCATTGTATTATGCAATATTATAAATCCTGCCATTGATTTGAATCACGGGATTAAAAAAATGTGATAAAAATATGCACCACTGACTGGGCGAATGTATGGCCATGCGAAAAAATATGGGAGGGGGGTTTAAATGTTTTGAATTCAACCAATCGTAGACGACCTTGGACACCCATTGAACCAATCACAGAGCCAGATTCAACCCGACACTGCTCGGCGAATTCATTCTCCGTTTTCAAACCTAGTGCCAACTGTACATGAGCGGGTCCGTTATGAACGCATGCAGCTGCAAGAAGCGCAAGTGTCCCCGATGCTGCGAGCAGATGCTCGTCCAGAACCTTTTCAAGGTGCTGGTAAAGCTCCCCGAGAAGAGCATTGAGTTTCGATGCGTCCGAGCGCTGCTCAGCGGCAGCTTTACCAACATCAACTTGAACTCGACGTTGGCATCGTGTGGGTACACGGTGAACATTGCCCCCCACAGCTACGCTGCTGGTACTTTTCTTTGTCTGTTCATCGCATTTAGAGTCTCACGGGTGATTTAGGTCGCCGAGACTTTTCGCTGCTTGAAAAGGGCCATGGCTTGCAAAAGAACCCGAACTCGCCCTCTGGCCCCCGTCGCGGCCGCCGTGGCATCTCGAAGGTGTTTCGCCAAGAAATCGCGCGTTACTTCTCGCTCGGGCAAGCGTTGGATGCGAATCAATGCTTGCTGTGGCTGAAGACCAACGTCTTGGACGAATCGTCGTTCCCAACGGAAGAAGAGATCCACCGCGTGCTGACCAACTTGAGTACGTTCGATCATCCACGTCCACTACACTAGGACACCCATATTCATGTGTTTGTTGTTGTAGGTCAACCCAAGATCAAGCGCGCGCCAGGCGAGGGCGAAGGCACGGAGCGCCGTGGCCGCAAGCCCAACCCCTACCGCAGCCAAGTGACGATGTTCTTGCTGAACAACAAGAACGCCAACCCCAACGACTGCTACCAGTGGCTGCTGCAAAACTACGTCAACCCGGACCTCCCCCAGCCCGACCTCAAGCAAATCAAGACGCTGATCAACAACATCAAGTCGAACCCGAACTTTCGATCGCAAGCCATGTACTAACCAACCTTCCTGAATCGTCTTGTCTTTTGCTTGTACGTGTTCCTTGCTTGCGATGTCCTCGCCATGTGTCTCATGTGGTTGTGACTTGTAGAAGTGTCCTCTTATGATCGACTATCGTGTGCGTGCTGCTTGCTGTGTCGCCCGCCCCCCATTGTGCTGTTGGTATATATTGCCCGATTGGACGAAATGGGCGATGCGATGCGAAATAAATATAATATAGTCGACTTTTTTCCGATGTTTTGATATATATTACATATTTATCTGGATATATAGGATATTAAATAAATCGACTTCGCGGCAACAACGATGGCAGTTACTAGTAGTACTACGAACAGTGTACTAGTATTACTAGCGTGGAATGTAGAACATTTCCTTCCTCGCATGTTGGTTGACGCCTTGTTCCATGAATGTAGCGCGTTCGACGTTGTTGAGATCGTCATGATGGGCCCGAAGTACTAGATGGAGAACGCCGACGCCGGATCGAGGCTCGTCCAGGACAGACCTTCCACCATGGCCCCTTCTGCCGCGATCGACACGTAATGCGTGTCGTCCAGCGGAGTAATGCGGAAGTGCCACGCAGGCGCGTGCTGGTTGTCCACGAACAACGTGATCGTGTCGTGTGTGATGTCGAACTCCTGGCGCTGGAGGTCGATCACAATACCCACCCCAAGCGCCTTCGTGTACGCTTCCTTTAAGCTCCAGAGAATGTAGAACCGACGGATCCTCTCCATGTCATTGTACCTCGGAGTGCGGATGTACTTCCATTCGCGAGGACCAAATTGCGCGTCAAAGCAAGCGAAGAAGTCGACCACGGGCTCCCTCGGCAGCTCCACGCGCACCACGTCGATGCCAATGCGTCGGTCCGATTGGCATGCGATGGCACAGATCGCTCCGTGGTGGGACACGTTGTAGTTCCACGTGGGGATCGGACATGCAGGCCATGAAGGCTTGCCCTACGATAGCGCTAAGAGATGTTCGAGATGTATGGGAGGAAGGGTGTGCCCTCGTACGTGGTCGCTACGGACGATGGAAACGGAAGCAAACGGAACGTGGAACGTGTCTGTGACGACTTTGCGTTGGAGCAGGCGACTGCAGAGCGCAAACTTCTGATCTTTTGGGAATCGATACCGCATAACCTACGATGACTCATGACGCACGGTCGCATTCATGCATGTAATGTACCGCTTGTTGCTCGTCCAAAGGGAGACGTTTGAGGAGAGAGTTCCATTCGTCTGGAGATGGGGTCCATGCTTCCACGTTGATGTACCATTGGAGGCCCGACGCCGACACCGCCATGCTGCTGAAGATAGGGCGAATCAAAGTTCAAACCCGCGCAAAATATACTTCGAAATACCACGTGGAAGTACCTATTAACTAATTGACGTATATTTTGACACAAATCGTACACTTTTTATACATTACGTGGCAGATTTGCATATACGAGTCGTCATGAGGAAGTCGAGATTCTTCGGCCCAAGGGGTAGTCCGTACTAGTACCAGTGAGAAGAATGCTTCAATAAGAGTTCCCGAAGGGTGATGCAAAGGAGACAGTATCGCCACAGAACAGTATCTGAGTTGTTCATGCAAAGTTCATTGTGTTCATCATCTCCGTTTGTCGTCGAAACGAAGATGGGACACATTCACACATAACGTTTAGGGACCTTCTACATATTCTACACACTGCTACGCCAGCGAAGATACACCACATGACTCTTATATGGCCCTTGCATTCAAAGAAGAGACGCATGAGTTGTATCTTGAACGGTCGCGACCGTCGTTCAGTGTGTGACGATCTTGCTTCCCAGTGCATTGAACACACACGTGGCGCGGACAAGGACACATTCGCGGCATATCACTATATGTACAGGAAGATGACAGAATCGCTAGCCTGGTTCGACTTTCGAGGGACGGCGACGTGGTGATCGATGTGTGAGACACAAGTTGGTGCAACGCGGGATTTCGACGTCTAACACATCCAAGACGTGGCGTGGAAGGGGGGTTCTTTGTGCTACTTACTTTCCAAGTTATTTTATCGTACTACTAGGTACTACAAGTAGTATGCATGACTAAATCCACGACTGGCTGCTCATGGAGCTGCTGGTGTGGTTTCTGTCGTTACGAGCTATAATTAGGGCCACTTCTTGTCGTTTTCGCCGAAGTCAAATCAACTGTTACTTTGGTCTTGAAGCGTTGTGGCTGGACTAGTACGATATGGGGGACAGTGTCGAGGACTCTGCCGTGAACGACTTTCTGCAGATTTTAGAGGAGCATCGAAAGAATTGCGAAAAGCAAGGCAAGTACGTCGAGGCCGAGATTGCCAAGAACCGCCTGGACGAGCTCAAGGTCCACGAGGAGAACCGGCGCAAGGAAGCGATGCGGTCGCGGCAGATCGCCGAGCGGCTGGGCGTTGAAGAGGCGCACATGCTCGAGTTTCAGCAGTTTAATCTTGTGTGGGACCGCAAAATGGAGGAGTACGAGCGCAACGTGGACGAGTTGGTGGCGTCCATGCGTGATCGCCACCAAGGCGAGTTGCTCGAGTTCCAGCAGAAGCTGCTTGAAAAGCAGACCAAGCCCAAGTTTTCCAAGGAGCTTCTCAATCTGCGCAAGATCGAAGAGCACTTGGCTCGGCAAAAAGAGTACGCCGCCAACACTCGTTCGTGTTGTTGTTGTTGTGAGGGGCACTCATCGTGGTCCTTCGTCTACTAGTTATGCCGAAGCGCACAAGATGAAGCTCAAGTCGGACGCGCTGGAGGCATGGGAGATGGAGAAATGGCGCAACTCCAAGCAGCAAGAGATGTTTCAGCGAGAAATCAAGTTCAAGCAACGACAGCGGCAGGAACTAGAAGCCCTCCAGAAGCGCATCCAGTCGGGCCGCGAAGAGCAAAAGAAGCAGCGGCAACTCGACCTCGAGCGACTGCTGCAGCGCTACCAAAACGTCAAGGCCGAGCTCCAGCAACAGCAGAACCTCGAACGCATTCGTATCGAAAAGTTTTCCCTCACCACGACCCAACGCGTGAGCATGAAGGTGTAAACTCAACAAGCCAATACGACGATGGTGGATGGATAGGAAGAATCTTAGGGACTTTGCCGCCGTGGCAGCAGCTTATATATATAACGTTCGTGTAACACAGATCCCATTGCGTGAAGTCGCATCGATAGATGTTAGTCTCGCCGCACGCTCTTGAACGCCTTCTTGTTCTGGACAAACATGTACGCCAGAGGAACCACGACACCACTGACCATGATCAAGAACCCAACCCAGTACGAACTTGAAAAGTAGCTCACAGCAGCCAGGCCACCGCCGCCAAAAGGTGCTTCTGTCGGGGTATCGTCATCGGCCATGATGTTGGGGGAGTGGAATGTGGAGTGATGGTATGTAGTTTAGAATGCATTGATTTGTATTATATTACACTTTTTAAATGAGTAATAATATGAGTCTGTCTGTCAATTCCACAATAGAATTAAAAGCAATCATTTTATTCTATTATCAGGAATGTCGTTGATTTCATAATTTCCGCACCAAATAAAAAGAACTTGATCATTGTAGGCTTTAGGTATGTAATATAAATCAAAAGCACCTTCCAGTCAAGCAGACATGGCAGGCAAAGTCAGCACCGGCGTCTTGCGCAAGGAATGGAAGAAGTACTTCCTGGCCTTCAATGGCGTGGTCGTTGGCATCCCTCTCGCCACCGGTGGGTACTTTGTGCACAATCTCCGCAACGATGAGCGTTTCCGCGAGCACTTTCACGACAAATACCCCGAGTTGGTGGACGCAATTCACGAGTACATCCCTGTCTTCCCCGAAGCGGCCCCGCGCGACGACATTGGCGAGTCTGATGCTGCCATCTTCAAGCAACCCGTGCATGCTAAGGTGCATCTCAAGTCTGGCAAGTCCATCGTGTTTCATGTCCCGTTCGACTCGTCGATCGCCGACGTCCACAAGCTCGCCCTGACGTCCAACCCCACCGATCAAGTCGTGAAAGTTGACTTTCAAGATGATGACGTGACGGAAGCACCCGCGAAACCAGGTACGCCACATGTCGATATTGGCAACCTCAACCTGACTACTGTGCACGACGAATAGCCGCGACCAAGGTAGCAGCACCAGCGCACGTCGGCGGCGGCCCTGCGTCGACGTGGCCCACGACATACACCCCGCGGAACCAGAGAGCACCTTCCACCAACTCCTCAAGTGCCATCCACAACGAGTTGCGTGCCGTCCGCGCCAAAGAGACGGCGTTGCGAGCGGAGCTGCGCAAGGGCGATCGAGAAATCGACGCTATCAAAGCCGACCTGCGCACGACCGAAGAGCTCAAGGTCCAATTGAAGGCTCAGTTGCCGCACAAACGATTTCTGGGGCTGTTTTAATAGATAACACGTTGTTAGCAACGTAAATGTACCGTGAGTGGCTGCGTTAGTCGTGTACTAGTTAGTATATGTTGAACATGTACAGTTAGCTTGCATCTAATCTGTAGCCCGCAGAGCTGAAGTCAAGTGATGTGTCATGGGCTAGCCCAAGCATATACAAGTGCTAATGGTTACGACTGTGGGAAGAATAGCTTGGTTTTGGGAATGACGGGGGTTGATGTGGTTTACTCGCTCAACGGCCAAGTTGGGACTTCAACATGTCCAATAAGCAGTTGAGTAGCGCTTGATTTGAAAGATAAAACCATTTTTACAGTTTGGAATGTTGTTTATATTGTAAGGTTAGAGGTGTCAAAGCCCATGTTTTCCTTGCAACGTTTGACATTCTCCATGATGTCAACAACGTACTAGTAACAGAAAGTAAGGACCTGTTGTTCCCAGCGAAAACTCGACTCCACCCTTTTTGAACCACGTTGCGGGGCTGCCCCTCACGATAGTCCAATGCCAATTTGCCCACCTCTTAAATCACCATTTCACGAAATGCCCCTTCTGTATGTAGCCCTGACGCTTCCGTTCATGAATGGCTGTCCTCGCCTAAGGCAAATAAAGGGCCCCCAAGCAAACCCAATGCAAACAGCGACTGGTTAGAGACAATCTAGGTGCAGCAACCATTCGTGGGGCCTCGATAGGAGGCTTGTAGAACGAGACAAGGTGTGCATTTGAGGAGCTGAGGAGGGGATATGGATGGGGGTGGGTGGTCCAGAGTGAAAAGTCTCGACTCCGATGACGTGGAAGCCCCCGTTTGCATCTTGCCCATCCAATAGCTCCATTGGTGCCGCCACGTACGCCGATTGACACTCGACACAATGTATTCGAGTTGTCGACTGTCTAGTAACGTTAGTTATTACTACGTAGTATTAATACTAGTAATAGCAACTGCAACTACTCCGGAGTATTATTACATCCTATAGGTGTTGTGTGTGATGTAATTGACAGATCCCCCACCCTTCTTTGGTTTCGTCTGTCGACCGACCCATTGTAACGAATAACGTTAGCCACAGACTAACGTTAAGTACTACATCATTCAGGCGTTACTTTGATATACCGGTATACTGTACTGTTCTCTGGATCATTCGGTGCGAAGCTCCGTCTAACGTCTAACGTGATGTAAAAAACAATCCAATTACTATAGTCATCCAGGGGGTACCTTACACACGTTACTGTCGCTGACTACACACGCCAAGGCTTTTGCTCAACCCCCCCGATGCCCCTCCGGTATCGGGAAATTCAGGCAGCCAAGTGTCAGTCGTGTGTGGAAACTTCTTGCCAGGGTAAAGTTAATGCCAGAGGAGTTGTCCCCCCAACAGGAAGCTTGCAACGAAATCGAACTCTTGTCAAAGCTAGTAATGTAAGTGTACTGCATAGTAACTTCTGCATTCGACAAACCCATAAATCTCGGAGGCAATCCTTGGGACGACGGCAAGATTAGCGCAAGACAAAAAAGCCCGAAGCTGGTTTCTGATGGTGAGCTACAGTCCAACATTAACGTTAGATGAGATCATGACATGCATTCCCTGCACCAAACACGCGACACCATATCGTTATTGGCACCGTTGCATATATATCCTGCGATAAGTTATCATATATACCTGTGAGAACTGATTTCTAGTACTACGTAGTAGTAGTACTAGTGCTACGAAATCGAAAATCTCATCGGCGGCCCGTAAGAGGTCTGAGTAGCACCCAACAACGATTCTGAACGCGAACAAACCCGAAGATTCCCTCGACATTTAACACCAATATGTACAGTACCTTCTTTATTAATAGAGACAAAATAGAAGCGTGCTGACGGGGCAACTTTGTGTGTACTATACCCCCTCTTCTGCATCTTAATTATAAGCCGCACGTGTATTTGTTGCGTGGCTGGCTGCCTTGAGCTCAGGACTTTGCCCTTTGCCGACTTTTTGTCATTCCGACCGGCCCATGGTTTCGCCATGAGATTCCTTCCACCAATGATCAGATGCCAAGTCAATTGTTCATTTTATTTGCGACATGGACCACGTGTGTGACTATGAGTAATTGAAGTAGTACTTTCCTATCGCATACTACAGTACTACTACCGATGACGGAAAATCGCAATTCTCAGATCTTCACCGTACCATAATGCATGGATCCTTCCAAGTACTAGTATGTGGGCCGTTGGTTTTCTGCACTTTGGATATGTTTTGCTAATCTGACACGCTTGTACGTATACCCAGTACGTTTCCTTTGAGTGCGCCGTACTGTAAGTTAGTACTACGTAGTACTCCCTCTGTATATCGAAGTGTGTACACCGGTTGGAAGGCTCCACGCCTTATACATGTTTGATTACAACATCCTTGAATGATGGACGACACGAGAGACAGCAGCCCCTGCCCATTCCCATGCTGAAACAAGCATACTAGTAGACATGAATAATCAACTCAACGATGTCCAAGGTAGCTAGCTAGCTAGCTATATTTGACAAGGTCTAGCGTAAATGGGAATTCCAATTCGTTCGCTGCGATCAAATTGCGTACCTTACAGTAGCTAGCTATCTTGCCAACAAGGCTGGTTCGATGTGACGAGCACGACGACAGTGTGGACTGGTTCAGGCAATCCCACCCACCACGTTTTTCTCCAGAGACGGAAAACCGAAACCAACAGACGCCACGACATTCGCGTGTGTGTGACAGTGTACATAGAGTACATTGCACAGTGTGGAGAATAATTCCCTCATTAAAACAGTCCCACTGTTGGTTTGACCTGAAATCCTGTTATTACATCCGGATACACCTCGTCTTGTAACCTGGAACTCGTTCCTACCCCCGGTGAGTACGTACGATGCTAATACCTGGGGTTAACAGCATCGCTAGTGGTTAGCTATCGCTTACCCATGAGATGCCCTTAACCCCTAGTAAGAGGTGAGGTGGTCTGAACATACAAAGTTCCCTATAAACCTAATTTACACAGTATGTCGGGTCAAAACAACAGTGGAACTGTTTTAATGTGTGAATTGTAGTACACGGTCCTGTAAGAGTAGAGTAACTTACTGTAGTACCCAACTGGTGCAAAGCGTCAAAGTGCTGTTGCGAGTATAATTCCCGTGAGAGAGCAACAGTTCCACTGTTGCTTTCGTAATCAGTTCCGTTCAAACGACCCTACAGTAGCTGGAATACATGTGCTGCTTTGGTGTATACACTGCATTTGATTATGACATACTCCAGTACTAATACTAGTAATAAGAACATGTGAAATGATTGCGTCAGCAACAGTGGAACGGTTGCTCTCAGGGAATCCTTCGTCAATTGTTGAGGCCGCTTCGTACGAGTTCCGTCACTCAAACAGGATGAACGCTGGTTCGTTCTGGACTTTGGCAGGTACAGGAAGGAGGCCATTCGACGTAACATTTGCAACGAATGGACTGCGATCGAAGCCAGCCAAGTACTTTGGCGCGTTCTCGCGCCACGTACTGAACCCCGTCCATGCCAAGAGGGAAGCGGATTTCTCGTCTGAAATCAAAACGAGGTAGTACTACTGTTGAAAGAAGAATCGGATACTGTACTTTCGATTATGGTGATACTGATATGCGCGACAGTTTGCTTGCAAATTCCACTCCCATGGCAACGGATGTTTTGTACACTACGGTCCAACTGAGCTCATGTTGAACTCAACATTCGACCGATCTCAGCGAACGACGGCTGCCACATTGTATTTATTGCCCCTTCACTACATACCTGGTCCTATTAATAGAACGTAGCAGAACTACAAAGTCGGAACCCCTGCCTGGACTTTAACACCAACGGTCGTGATGAATTTTTGATTCGCATTGGAATGAACATTCGTTGAGAACAACAGGACGAGCAGGTTGTGGGTTCAGTTTCCATTCATTGACACGTGTTCGATTCGAAGAATTCGCTTGGAAAAATCAACCAGGTTTTAGCAAATGGTTCTGCTGTGGTCTTCGTGGGTCTGGTTTTGATTGTTGGTATTGATCGATCGCACTTCCTGGCACGTGCACACAAGCCGCCCTGCTGCCGTCTTCCACTGCTTGACAATGACGAGCAACCCAGAAAGTGTTTGTACTTACAGTAGTACTATACAAATGGGATGTACACAACGCTAACAATGATGGTAACGGTGAGGACTTGCAACTCCGACCTTGATTGTCGCACACTGGAGATCTGAATGGATTTGACAGAACAAATGATCTGTTATACTATGCTGAGAGGAGGATAACTTGACATCTAACAAAGCAAGAGGGGGGAAGGGGAAATGTGCTTGTAGGCTTCCCAACAATACCAACACGCCAATGTCCACTATGTACTATATATATATCAATAGTACCACCGTGTAAAGTTAGTTGGTTGCTCCTTCCCCTTTGAACCCCCCTAACCGACTATGTGCAAGGCTATGTAATACCATGGCAAGCATACGTATCAATGTGAAAGCTACTTTCTACATACACACACATCGAAATATATGAGGGAGAAAGCAAACGCTTGGTAAATTAAGGGGGGCGTGACACCAATAAATACGACTACTCGCTACGACGACGACTGCACCAGTGGCTAGCTGCTGTAGCTAGCACTCCTTGTCAAACAGTGCGAGCAGGATTGAAATGTCTTCAGTGCTCCAGGCCAAGCTCATGCCCGGGACCAACTCGATGTCGTTGTCGAGCGAAAGTCGCACGAGGTCTTCGTCAAAGTCGCCCTCGGCTGAGGTGGTGGGGGTCTCCACGTCTGTGAGGGCTGCCATGGTGTCGTACATGTCTTGGTCTTCGAGGTACTCGACGTAGTCGGGCAGGGTCGGACGCTTGGCAGAGTACGGACTGTATCGCATTGCTATTTTCTTGGGGTGGAAGGCAGGGCCTTTGCATGCCAACGTGGTCATGGACGAGCGACTGGTAGTTTTCATCGCAATGGGCCAAATCGAGAAATGATGTGATCCACACGACTTCAGTGGCCAACGGCATAGGTGCCACTGGTAACTTTACGATGCCGCGAGGTGCAACTGTCTACAAACCAGACTGATGCCACTATCGCCACGTGGCTCGTCCCACTGTTGGAGTATCTGGCCACAGATACATCCTTTTTCACAACAACAACCACGTCCGAATAATTCAGGTTCGCGGAAATCAATCGAATTCGCCTTGGGTTTTGACAAGGGTACTTATAGTTGTAGCGTCGAGTGTACTATTAATAGTACTCCTATACTAGTACTACCAGGACTATACTAACTACACCTGTGTACTAGTACTATACACTATTAATAGTAACGCTGCCCATGTTGACGTCTGTAAGGTACTGTAGTACCACGTAGTATATCGAACAACATTCGATCGATCGCAGTCACTCTGCTTGTGCAAAGGCTTACGACTGTAGTACGTACTCCAGAGTACTATTAATACTACTACCGGTGCATGCTTCTACTCAGATGTGTGGCCACCGACAGCTAACCAATCGTACGTACAATCGTAAGGGTAGCTGAGCAAGCTATACATGTGGATGGGTTCACTCTGTACATTCACTCTGGGAGTTGGATTGGATTGGCGGGTAGATTTGGAGGCATGATTGGGGATTGGACTGATTGGAAAGTGGATGCATTCAGAGTATATGAATCTCAGGCAGGGCTACGAAGTTACTAAGCTTACTACCGGGAGTACATACTAGTAGTACCGGTACCTCCAACGAATAATCTGTGGTGGTAACCAAATAGTTCAGCCAATTTATTGCTCGAGAAACGTTAGGACTGTAAAGGTCCACCATTAACATTAGGCACACATATACTTAGTAACGCTATGTATGTATAGTGACGTTTATTCGCGTGTATCAGTTAGCTAAGGAATCTTTTGCGCCTACAGCTATGTAGCGGACTTCGCATACCGGGTACATCGAACGTTTGACGTCTGGGTGCTGGGGGATGGTTGGTTGGGCATGCGGCGACGATCATATATGTATTGACTAAAATAGTTATAGTAGTAGTGTGATATTTGTTGCAAAGTGATTTTACACCGCAAAAACAGGAAAGCATGCAAGTTTGCAAGTTACATGTACTACGTAGTAACTTTATGTTTAGTTCGAAGGTACAGTACTGTACTACTACGGAGTACTAGTACTATTAATAGTAGTTTTAATAAGTGTAGTACTACGTACTAGTACTGTAGTACTTTGTTTTGGAATTCGAGTCGTGGTGTTGGAATGGAAAGTCACTTTGCAACACTGTCACCAAGGCAACCTAAACGGGCGAAATCAGAGTTGGATTTGCAGGAAACGCAGCAATCTACGTGGGGGGATAGGTGGGGGCCAATACCAATACAGTGAAGGCGGATGGATTTACCAGGTAACGTTATGTGTTCCTTTCACGTGTTGTGCAATCTGTGAGGATCACAGACTAATCGGATCATTGGACAGGCCCAATGTGTTACCTATGCAACCATGTTTGCCCTATTAATAGTATGATTCAGCGTGGAAGGACTACCGTATTCGTCAATTGCAGTCAACTCACGACCCCCCCCTTCGAGCAAAGTTTGGGTTGATTCAGAAGCTTGCCTGTGAGGAGGCAGACTCTTGCTGGAAGTGTGGCTGCAGGCATGTGATGCACGTACAGTACATATGTACATGGAGTTCTTCCTCCCTTACACATTTCCTCAAACTTTGACGACTACCGTGTACTATCAGTTTCAGCAGATGCACAGCTCACTCTAACCGATCACATGCACTTGGTAAAAAACTCTATCCGTGTACAGTACTGTAATCGAGTTCTATCAGCTGACCATGGCCACCGTCTATGAATTGTTAAACCCATTTGTGTTAGTTAACCTACTTGTCGCGAATCGTGTTCAATTTCCTATTGATAGGAAGTGGAGCGAGCGTTGATTTTTCCCCATTTTTTGGAATGTCTCTGGAAGTTCGAAATATCGTGCAACTTCGTCGCATCTCTTGGCGTGAATATTTGATGCCCAACATGCAAGTTCCTGTCAATCCCTTCAGCCGCTCGCATGACGACGGGCAAAGATTCGTCCAACTCTCCCCCCCACCTTTCGCTAGCCATCAGATCACTTTCGTATTTGGTGGGTGCACATTGAATATTCTTCTTTACACGTCATCTGGTCGCCAACCGTTCGACATTGAACTTCAATGTCACTCCAGAATGTTGCTTCGTCGCAGGTCCAGCGTGGTACTAGTACGAGATAGTAATACTAAACGGGATTATAGGCAGTAGCGCACCGGTGCGCCGTGTTGCCTCTTCACGACACTTTGATCACCTGTTTTTGTCCACCACCGGCCACCCAATCCACTTTTGCAGGACATTTCATCGAGTGGTTCTGTGAGCTCGCACTGCCATGGCATATACTAGTACTAGTACTAGTATTAGTTATTGCACACATATCGATTGTTGGCTCCGTTAACAACGTACACACCGTGTACGACGACGATGGAAGCGTGGGTGAGAGATTGCATATATGAAGCGGCTTGACGTAACTTCTCGCGCCCCGTCGCGACGATGATCTGAGTGGTGCAACTGTACAGGGTGGACATGTGAGCAACGAGTCGGTTTTACCAAACGATGTTCCTGTACAACCAAGTGACAAATTAATGACGTGTTGAAGGATGGTGCACCAGCATCATGTCTTCCCACACACGACAGCCAAGACCGCAATGGCCGCAACTACTCTGCGATACACACGGATTTCCGAGCTTACCCACACATAGTGTACATCCTTCCGTCAGCAGAGTGCTGGCATCAACACTTGCCATGTGATAGATTCGACGGCCGCATTCTGGTAACGCTGCGAATATTTGGCGGCTGTGCTGTGCAATCATGGGGCAAGGTGCGACCAGCTTGGACTGGGCATACGGTTACAGTAGTTTACGACTTCCTGTTACAGTAACGTAAATTTACTGTGAACCACAACGACCTTTCCACTGCACCGTCGAAAATCTGCAGGAATCCTCCACCGATTGTCAGTGAATGATGTCCACTTCCCTGACTAATACACACACAACTTGAATTTAACAGGTCAAACCTCTTACTAATATATACTATTAATAGTACACCGTAATACGAAGTACTACGTAGTACTAGTATTGGGGGAGGCAATACTGGTAAGGTTATAGGAATAATTCACTTCGAGTAATATGCAGCTCGATTTACCACCTGTAAATGTCGGGGAAATGTTTTCCAGACTGACAGTGTGCACCCTTGGTCTACTATTAGTATCCAAGGAAGGATAATCTACTAGGACGTACTACTGGAGTATTAATAGTAGTAACGTACTTTGAAGTTACTACGTAGTACTGTAGTATTAATACTAGTAGAGGGTGATTTTGCAAATACTACTGTAGTATGTCAATATCCAAGTGAAATTTTAGTACAGTAACGTTATTGCCGATTTTCTTCAAATTTCCCAATTGTCCAAATGGTTCGTTCTACTGAGCACAAACCGTGCTGAGACATCTGATTGGTTATTATCCGCTTCGCCCTTTCCGGTAGAAATCCAAATTGTATTGTAGCCAATCAGCGACAAGTAATTGAGGATTGACCAATGGAGAGATTGCGACCCGGGTCCGGAAATTCATATTGTGCTTTCCGGTAGAACTTGCCAATTGTGAGCCATTTTTGGACCTGGAACCACCCGTAGTAAATGAGTAGCGTGAACTCTCGATGATTAGCCGAAGTTTCGATGATAGGCCGAGCAGGTTAACCCAATAGAAATCCAGATTTCATTTGATTGGATAAAATTGATCACTTCAAAACATAATACCTTCTATTACCTTATGAAGCATTGTTGTTGAAATTAGTCAAATTTGCCTCCAATATACGATACTTGTGTAAACATTTTATTCCTCTATAAATTGGTTTTTGAGCATGCAACATCTCAACTACTAGTACACTGTACTCAATAGTTCACGTTAGTTAGTAGTATTATAACACACACAATACAAACACCAATGTTTGTTTTGATATCGACACGGTGTCCTTGTGATGCTGTAGTTCCACACCAAGAGAGGGCCACAAGAGAGCAAGGGGTCTTGACATAAATACAACGTTACTACTACTGCTTCCTAGTCGAGTTTTCATTCGAATGAAAATTCACCGCTGGTTACATGCGATACAGATCGTGTCGCAGGTGTGCGAGGGCGGTCAAGAGCGTGTGCTACAACACACCCTCATCAAATAAAGAGGAATGGAAAGGAGGGGGCACCTTGAGCGGCGCCGACAATGACAGGTCGAACTCATCTTCGGTCAAGAACGCAATGCTACCGAGCGTATTGAACCCTCGCTTCTCCAGGGACCGACCGAACTCGACCAATTCTGGACTGCGCACGCTCATCCAGTGGATCACTTCGCCTTCTTTGTACACTACACCTCATGAAGGTAAGACTCTTTGTGATGAGGTCGTGACCCGCACACCTGAATTCACGACCTTGGCCTGCTCCTTGGCTGCATCGATGCGCAGTCGGATTTTGTTGGGGCTGCAGCTCAACGGGGCGGCTGCACCTGACGAAGTTGACGCTTCGCGATGGACTTCATCCATGTCCAAGGCAAACGCAGCCGACACGATGCTTGGCATCCTGGTTGTCCTCGGAGCTCTCGGGACGACGAGCTTAAAATATGTCAGATCTGTGAAACGGTTCAAATCGAGTACTATTCTTAGATCGAACATTATAACAGTTATATAATATTGTACATTGAATTTTTCAGATGCGTCGTTTCTTGAAGAATCGATTTTGATTGGCTTGTACTTACGAAACAAAGGTATTTTAGCCAATTAGAAGTTGCTAAATGGTTCAGAGCGAATATAATTGGTTATCGAAAGTCTAGCAGAAGTGACATGACAATCCCCAACTGTTACAGGTGACATTAACGAACGCATGATATCGCCAAGGCACTACAGAGCGAGAAACGAGGATGCGGTAGGAGATATACAGCCTGCATCACCAAGTAACGACGAGTCTGAAACCTAGCTAAGAACCTCACGTGGAATAAAACCTCTACGTTAGATCTTGCATGCATCGAGTGGGCTCGTCCACGCTGCTTAAATGTCGTCAAATTCAAACCCGCAGTCGTCGTCGTCGCCTGCGCCGTCCATGTCCACGCTTGTTTCGTTGATGCGCGCGTTGTCGGGAAGTTCGCCGTACGCTTTTAAACTACGTGCTTCGTCCGCGTTGTACTTGTGGATGATGTCAACCTTGCCATCTTGGTATTCACGCAACGACACCAACACAATGTCCCCGACACCGACCCACACCTTCTTGCGCATTTTACCGCGAATGTGTCCGAGACGAGTCACCCCGTCGTAGCAGTACGCTTCCAAGCGACCGTTCCCCAACATGCGCAGCACTTGGGCGTATTCTACGACGGACGATGGATGAGTCGATGCTTTTTCCCGTAGGGAGATGGAGCATACACATACCTTGGCCATCTTCCTTGAACTCCAACTCACGCTTGTTCTCTTCAACGTCGCCCTTCCCTCGGCGACGGTTCTTGCCGCCCTTGCCCTTGGCCTTGTTTGCCGAAGACATCCTGCTTTCAAATGATTTCCCGACCACCAATTGGCCTCTTTTCTATTTTCAACCCTCCACGGTGATTGGTCGAAATGAAATGACCTGGCATACAAACACCAAGACACAATAAAACAAACGACAACGACCAACACTCAGAATACCTTTGTTTGTTTAATGAATAAAACGCACATCGCGTTGACGTTTAAGTACTTGGAATGGAATTTACATTGTTAAACGCACGGTTAAGTACTCGGAATGGAATTTTCAGGCACAGAATAAATAAGGACTGTAATGCAGGTGCAAAGTGTACATTTGGCTACAGTACCAAGCTTGGCTACACCACGTAACGCAGCCAGCGCGTACGATATCATATATACCATGACGAACGATTAACCAACAGCTCCATGGACACTTGAGTCACGTGACTTTAAGCCTACACGAGTAGGTAGGTACATGTAAATTTAGTTGACAAGGGGGTATGAATAAATAGTTAGTCAAGCGTTAGTTGTTTACTGGGTTGTTTGGTTTGGGAGGGTGCCAATAATGCCTCCCGGAGCAAGTACTTGAGTACGTGCCACGTCATTTTTACGGCGTCCATGCCCGTGGATTGCTACATACAGTAGTATATAGGTGAAACTCAACTTGGGGACGTTTTGAGGCTAAATATAGCCCCACCGCGTCGATTCTGCCAGCCACCAGCCGCATCCGCATCAGCGTCCGTCGCTGAGCCTTGACCATGGGCATCGTCTACGTGTACTCGGAGGACCACTGCGGGTCGTCGACGTGTCTGTTGCTTGATGTGTGGTTCGTGGTGGGCGTGGTGGTGGCGTTAATTGTCGGGTCCTTACTCGTCATGTTCGTGCGGCGAGGCAACATGCTGCGACGGAGGCACAAAGTTGAGATGGACTTGACGAACCGCAACAACGAAAGCATGATTCGGAAGGATGTGGACCAGGCGCAGATCCAAAGTCGCAAGAACACAGACAAATCGGGCTATCAGTTTCTCGAGGCACGGAATGGCATTGCCAGCTTTCTCGGCAAAACCAAGCGGAAAACCACGTACATCGCGTCATATTTTCGTGTCTACTGAATGATGGACAACGAGAACACATATACATACATGGGGCTTTAGGGCCAAAGAACTGCGGGCAGAAGATATGTTTCAGAAGCCCACGTACGAAGAAAGAGCCGTGATGGCCGTCGCTCCGTCCGATATGCGTGTCAAGCAAGAAGAAGACAAGCTTCGCAAACTCACGTCGATGCGCCGGTACGACGATATTGTGCACCGTGATTGAGAGGGGTAAGTTTTATTGTGTGTGGTTAGGGTGAGCATGACGGCTCAGTCCAACGTGAGCTTCAAAGTCGCCGATAACGTGTTTGCGTCCGTGTATGAAGTCAAGTTGCCCGAGGTGCATTTGGTCAAGCAACTGGCCATCGGGCCGTTCTCAGAAGTGTACGCCGGCGTGTGGCGCGGCACCAAAGTACGTTGGTCTCGCACTGTTGACTTTGCATACAAATTTCAAGTCAACACTATTAAAATTTGTGTTGCATTCTGGTGTAGGTCGGCGTCAAGCTCCTCATGCCCAAGGAAACGTATCAGGAAGGTGTGGAAGAAGCTGTCAAGAACTTTCGACGGGAAATTTGGGTCATGAGTCGGCTGGACCACCCGAATGTCCTCCAACTCATTGGCGCGAGTTTAACCTCGAGTTGTTATGTGTTGATTATGGAATACATGACTAACGGTACAATTGTCATATCTTTAAATATTCACTATATATGTCATCTTTATATATTTACTATATATGCCATCTTTAAATATTCACTATATATGTCATCTTATAAATATTCACTATATTTTTTTAATATTATATTCATTGTATAACTATATACCATATATATATCAATATTTCGGGTGTAGGGTCGCTGTACGAATATTTGCGCGACACAAAGAACATCCTGCCGTTGCAATTGATTCTCCATTGTGCCCAAGATATTGTGCGTGGCATGCTCCACGTCCACGAGCACGACATCTTACAAGTAGGCAGCACATCCTTGTCCTTCTCGTCGTCGTCGTCTACTTAATCGTTTGTTAAACTATTAATAGCGAGATTTAAAGACCAAGAACTTGCTCGTGTCCGACCACTTGGTCGTCAAGGTATCCGATTTTGGCCTCTCTCGATACAAGGACAAAATGTACGGCGAGTACACGTTTGTAGGCACCCCCTTTTGGTACGCCAATCATAATACGTACGCCCAACGACGTTTTTATTCGTATATTATTTTTTAAAAATGACACGGGTTTGCATTCGTATTTATCATGCGATTCTTTCAAGGGCGGCGCCCGAAGTCATCCGGCACGACAATTACACCGAAAAAGCTGATGTATACAGGTACACAACTCATTGCACTTGTTGGAGTGACTACACAAAACACGGCGGTAGCTTTGGGGTCGTGCTGTGGGAACTCATCGAACGCACGGACCCTTATACAGGCATGAACCCCCTGCAAGTGCCCTTGCTGGTGTGCCAGGAAGGACTGCGGCCGTCGAATTTTAAGAACCCCGCGCCCGACAATTACGTTGCGCTCATGCATGAGTGCTGGGACGGGGACATGGACAAGAGGCCGAGTTTTGCACATATTTACCAGCGATTACACGGCATTTCCGTGCAGTACCAGCAACAGACGGACCTCGTCGTACGTATCCGTGGTTTTGGGGATACCCTATCGTGGTTTTATCGTCCGTGATTCCTGTATTTCGACACGGAGGTTTTCAATGGCGTAATATATATATATATATATTTATTTGTATTTAACCTTCAACCTCGTTGTGCTATTTTTCAACTGTTTACAAAAGATGCAGTATATGTATGATTGATTTGGTACGAATTTCCAGACCCCTCCCATTGGTCACCATCTGAAAGTCCTCTTTGCTGATTGGCTACATTATTTTGTGCTTTCTGCAGAGTAATCGGGAAAACCAATGAACTTTCGCGGCGAGGTTTGGAACGAATTGGGAATTTCATATTGCTCAAATTTGGACTTTTGTGCTGATTCTCCAAATTTATCGATCGATTGATTCATTTGTACGTAAAAATCGTGGTCCTGTGTCACAGTAATTTCATTCACACACTCTCATTTGATGTTGAAGTGGTCGAAGGGTGAATTTGATTGATTGGCTACTTGATCAGTGTGCTGGGTTTGGATTGGTCGTAGTATATCGATTGTCTGTCGATGTATTTGGTTCATCTGCTCATGATTCGATTGAGCAGCAGAAGAACTCCACAGCAATTTCGAATCGACAATAATAGTATTCATGGTGTTTGCAGGCGGCGCCACTGGCCACGGAGAAGCTGAGCGACCTGGCGGCACACGTCAACCACGCGAGGCGGAGGGCGAGTGTGGTGGGAAAGCACGACTTCGAGTGCTCTCACGAGGCCATGATCAAGAAGATTCCCATCAAGCAGAGCCGATCCAAGACTGGCAGCACCCTTGTCACCACCGAGCAGATCAAGACGCTGCGGAAAACGTACCTACGGGGCAAGCGGTAGAAACAACCACACTAATTATAGGCACAATAGACACTCACTCTCTTCACCACCACGGGGACGTGAACCAACTGATGGCCGTTCGATTCAAACAAATATTCAAGTGTACTATCGTTGAGTTTTGGGATTATAATTGCTATAATAGTTACGTTATTAGCATAATCAGGCACACAAAACACTTACTTTGAAGTCTTACCGGTATTAATACTAGTATACGTGTATGTGTTAACGGTAGTTAAAGGTCGTTCGTTCTACTAGTATGATAACGTTATTCCCACAAGTTACTTTCGCTTGTGATTATTATTGTGCTTTTCGCCCAAATTGGCAAGTTTGGGGGATTGTTGAAATCGCCAACAAATCGATCAAAGCAGTATGATTGGCTATAAAGAATCGAGATAGCAATATGATTCGCTATAAAGAATATGCAGTCACAAAAGGTACCCCTTGATTTTTTTTAGTTTCCCCATGCTATTACAGTATTAATAATAGTAATGTCAGCCCAATGATGCTGTGCTTGAATGAGCAACGACGATGTCGAGGCTATTGACTCCGTTGTAGAAAGCATTGCATTTGCAAAACGACGTATAAGACGAAGGACGGTGGCATAATGCTGCATGTGTGATTTTGTTAACTAAGGGATCTTCTTTTCGACGACGGCGGCGCCGGACGGGTCTGTGGCAAACATTTCAATGTGCTGCACCTTGGGCAAGCCCCACGACGTGGTGGACGTGACAAACACGCGGTTCAACTTGCATCCGGGAACACCGTTGATGTCAGTGTGCGCAACAGGCTTGCCGTCCACGACATGGAGCTCAATCACCTTGTCCGGCAGGGACGCCAAGATGACCTTGTACGAACCGGCCTTGCCTTCCCAGGGGGTCACGGCAACTCCGTACGCCGTGTTGCGTTCAATCATGTTGAGGCCTTCGCGGCCCACGGGGTTGTTTTCAAACATGATCCAGTCCACAGTCAACGGGTCCTTGGCGTCAATCACTCCGTCGACGTGGTTCGCGGCGTAACTCACGACGTTCTTGTTCTTGTTGCGGTGGATGACGAACACAAGGTTGGGCTCGTGCGTAGCGCGGACATGCTCCACGGGGTCGTGCTCTACCTTTGCGTAGTCGGCCATGTTCTTGGAGTTGTCGTGGGAAGGAAGCGTCCAAATGGAAAATGACAACGTCGGACCAGTGTGCGGCGAATCCGGATAAGCCTCCGGATATCGTGGCGTTTCAACTCCCTTCAGTATAGAAATGCCAACGGGATGCTGAATATAGCTCGATCTTTTACCGTAAATCGCGATACGTTATACCTTATCGGGTTAAAGGCCTAAATACCACCCGTAGAACTTTAGGAAGGAGCGTTCTTTTCACGTTACAGTCCAACTGTAAGGTTAACGCAATTCACGGCGCTCCATCCGAAGTCGTGCAGTACAACAGTACACCAAGCTCGACGTTATAGAACGCAAACGATGAGTTTTGATTGAGGGCGACATGGTTTTGGTCTACATGAGTTTAATTTCCCCGACATACTACTTGTAATGTTTACTCTTATGAATGCCACGATCGATCGATATACGGTGAGTTGGTTGCGTACATTGTAGTGCGTGCGGACTGAATCGAATTGCCTAATGTTAGTAAGCGTGTTACTACTAGGACATACTAGTACTGCAGTTAGTACACACATGTATATAATATACATACTATTAATAGTGCAATAGGCACTTCAGAAGCGAGCCACGTTGGGTATTCTTTTCTTGCCATGGTTGCCACGTGGATCGCATGACCAAATACCCGGTGGATGTCGCCCAAACAACAGGTTTTTTAATTTTAACCACGTTGAAGTTTGAGTTTACAATCACTCCATCTTGCTCTCCTTCATCTTGCTTTGCCAAAATCAAGGCGCCAACCCGGGCACTTCGTTTGCAGGTCTAATATGTAATGCATCGATTGGCCTTATAGTGAGTCCATGAGTTCACGCAGCTTGAAGAGGTACAGCCGACCCCCAAGTACCGACGTTTACTCGAAAATAGTATGCTCACACTTCGTTGACCCAACGTTGCGATGTCCGGATAACCATCCGCTGATTGATGTTATCCGGATAATCAACCCTAAAATGTTCCTTCAGCCGCGCCGTGCCGCAACCGAGTTCAACGGGTATGCGGTAGGTCATGAAGGGTATGCGTGGAGGCTCATAGGACATTGGTATGGCAGGTGGAGTTCAGTCCATTCCATGAACACTGGGTAGCAGTGGGCACGGCTCAGTACTTTGGGATCATTGGCAATGGCCAAACGGTGGTGATGGAACTGCTGCCCGACGGGTCGCTCGCTACGGTACCCACAAGCATGCACGCACGACGACGTCGTGGTTCCTCATCAATTGACGTGACAGATGCGCTCGTTTGACACCCAAGATGGCGTGTACGACGTTGCGTGGAGCGAGACCCACCCGAACCAACTCGTGGCTGCGTGCGCGAACGGCCACCTCAAGCTGTTCGATGTGACGACTAGCGACAACTTTCCGATCCAGTCCTTTGCCGAACACACGAACGAAGTGAGCGGCGTGAACTGGGGGCTCGTGGACCGGACGTCGTTCGTGTCGGCGTCGTGGGACCACACGATCAAGCTGTGGCACCCCCAGCACCCCGCATCCATGCAAACATTGCGCGGACACACTGGACCCGTACGACACAACCATCCTCCTCTCCTTTGCTACCATCCTCTCCGATACCATAGTGTTGTCATATCTTGTTGCTTATCGTTAATGTAGTACTACAGACTCTACCTACCATTGATTGTGAACGATCGAAACGTAAGTGCATATAGGTGTACAACGCGGTGTGGTCGGCTGTCGAGGCGTCCCACGTCGCATCGTGTTCTGGCGACGGCTCCGTGCGCCTCTGGGACTTAAAAACCCCCGGTCGGCCAGTATGCGACATCGCTGCCCACGCCCACGAAGTGACAGCGTTGGACTGGAACAAGTACAACCCCACGCAAGTCGTGTCAGGATCTGTGGACACCTCGTTGAAAGTGTGGGTACGTACGTGGCACGCTCCCGTGCAAGCATGCCTTGTATGGATGGATATAGTAGATTGTCCTTGTATCCCAACTCCATCGATCGATCGATTGCAACGCTGACTGAATGTTGTAAAAATTGACCAGTTTCGTACGAATATAAGTCACACGCTATTGTGAATTCGCTACAAACTTCGAAAAAATTTCGCATGGTTTGCAGAATCAATATTGAATCACGCTGGAGTTGTGATTGGTTGAATATACTTGTCCTTTCGAGCCAATCAAATCCACTCAAAAATGGATTTGTAGCCAATAGTGTCGATTCGAGATGATTCGATTCGACGGGGTCTCGAAATTCGTATCGAATATACCACAATACTTTGATGTTGAATGGTTGAAGCGAGGACTGGATTTGATTGGCCACTTGCATTCGCATGTCGAGTTTGAATGGAAACTCTATAATGACCACCCGTAGTACTTTTTTAACTTTTGTTTGACGGTATTATTTAGTTTTTCAAATTGCAGTAAAACATGTAATTGTTATAAAAGCTCATAATTTATTAAATTATGGAATAAAACATAATACTTCAATTTTATATGTGGATTTTGATTGGTTGTACGTATATCGATTGTCTGTCGATTTATTATTTGGTTATTCTGCTCATTCGATTGAACACTCCACTTCAATTTCGAATCGACTTGACGATATCTATTCCTCGAAGCTCTCCAATATATATATATCAATTTAAATATATATCAACATAAATATGTATATATTTGTGAATTTATCCCCCCGAATTCGACTTATATATATATAAATATAAATATATATCAACATATATATGTATATATATATATATACATCTATCCCCCCGAATTCGACTTGTGGACATATATGACGGACGTCGTAAATAGTCTTCCAACTCTTGTTCCACTGTCTGTTTTTGGTGTTGTTAGTATATTACCCATTTCAACGACAAACAACTAACGATGAGTATCAACTAACAACTAGGACATTCGAAACCCGTCGGTGGAAGTGCGGCAGCTGCGCGGCCATCAGCACGCTGTCCGCCGTGTGAAATGCTGTCCCCATGACGAGTATGTCGTGGCTTCCACGTCATTCGACATGTCCGTGCGACTGTGGAACGTCCGCGCCGTGCATCCCCACTTGGTACGTAGAATAGTTAGTCCCTCCGTTTAAGGACCTCGCTTGACATGTGGAGCGCTCATAACTTTCTGACAGCAATGTGCTGCCGCCCACCATTCCGAGTTTGTGCTAGGGCTGGACTTTAGTTTGTTTGTGCCAGGTACGATGTCGACATGTAGTAATAGTAGTAGTAGTAGTTAACGCTGATTTAGGACTGGTAGCGTCGTGCTCGTGGGACCGCAGCGTCGTAATGTGGAACTACACGGGAGGCCCTCCCCCATCAACCCCCCGACAAGTCAAAGGATAAAACCCCCCAACGAACTCCACAGCGTTGGTTAGTTGATTCGTTTGAAATAGCCTCGAGTAACGGCACCACCAATACTACTACTACTACTACTACTAGTAGTACCCTCTGGTATAAAAACCGGATCGCGATACAAAGCAGCGATAATAGCATATGACAACCTATGCAACGAACGATACCAGTTGAAGATGTATTGATTAATCCCTTACTCCAACGACATGTGGACATGAGAACCACTAACTACTACTACGTACTAGTAGTACTAGTACTAGTATTGTCATTTTACCCAAAGTTTGGACTTTTGGGCTGGTTCGCCAACTCTATCAATCGATTCTTTGCACTGACTTTTATGCTTAAAAATCGTCCAGTGTCACATTAAATTAAGTCACACACTAATTCAATGTTGAATTCGTGGAAGAGTGGATTTGATTGGCTACTTGATCAGTGACCTGGGTTTTGATTGGTCATATATCAATTGTCTGCCGATTTGGTGCTGCTCATTCGATTGAGCGACTAATTTCGAATCGACTTGACAATAATACACTGCTGTATACAACACATTCCAAAACAACAAGAACGTTGCTTAGCTTGACATATTCCTCTCGTGCTAGTAACCTAAACGTGTGTGATAAAGTATTTTTCCTCTTAATAGTATGTCGACGAAATGTGGTGCAAAAAACTAGAGCTTCTGGGGCTCGGTCGGGTCGAAATGAAACATGTCGGCGCAGGCTGCCCACAACTTGTCCAAGTCGGCGTCCGTGTAGCCCGTGCCACTCAGCGGCATTTCCGTCGCGACTGGTTCACGATCCAAGTAAAACAACCCCGACGAGGCGCCGCCTTGGTCCGACACACACAGCCATGTGGCCGTGTCCGCGGCCTGGTGCGCGTCGCGCATGAGGTGGCGGTGGCGCTTCGTAAAACCTTCCAGAGCCTGCTCCGTGCCGCTCGTAATGGCCCACCCGGGGTTCATCGCGTGGAATGCCACGCGGGTCGACGCCAGCGGGAACCGCCTCACAAACTGGCGCGTAAGGGCGACTTGGCACTTTTTAGCTTGGCCGTATGCCATCGTGCCGTCATATTTGCGCGATGTGTAGGCGGGCCCGACCCCGCGGACGTCGTCCGTGTCGAGCGAGACCAGGAACTGTCCCCCGCTTGACATGTTGACCACCCGGCCGACGTCCGGCGCCGCTTGAAGAAGCGGCAACAGCCGCGACGTGAGCAAGTACGTACCCAGCAACGCCACCGCGCGACTGCTCTCAATGTTGTCCTCCGTGATCACTTGCTTGTCCATGAGCATGCCAGCGTTGTTTACCAACCCGTGCAGCACGCTAGTTTGGGACGCAAACGAGTCGGCAAACCGGTGCACTTCCGACATCTTGCTCAGGTCGGCGATGTGCAGGTGGACGTGGTCGGCGGACGGCGCGAGCTTGGCCACGTCCTGCTTGGCTGCTTCGCCACGGTCCGGGTTGCGACAGACCATATGCACGTGCGCCCCCGTGGCGGCAAGCTGTTCCGCGACCGCCTTCCCGATCCCGCTGTTTGCGCCGGTTACGATAAAGTGATGGCTCGACAGGTCCTTTGTCGGTGCGGCGCTCGAGTGTTTGGCCAGCATCTGCTCATATCCACGGACGCCGTACCGCGACCGGCCTTGGAAGTACCATTGGACGGAGGCCAGGATCGAGTACGCCATGGCCAAAGCGAGTTGAAGTGTGACAACTCCATGATCGTTTCTTTTACATTAACGACGGTTGGAAGGCCGGAGAAGTCTATATGAGAGTGAATGTAACGACCTGCATTCAGCGATGACCTTTCGTCGCCAAGATCGTCACATTGCATGCAAAACTTCGCGTTGAGCACAGCAATGTGTACTCTGGAGTAGTACTGCTAAAGTCAAGTCAGGCCGGCACTATGCCGAGGTTTGGACATGCATATCGATACCATCCAACCCCACCATTGGAAATGCAATGGTAAATTCCACACTACGTTTCAAGTACGAATCGCAGTCCCTGACATCACTCACAGTGGCCTTGCAACTTTACGCTAAAGTGTATAAATCCTGTCAGATATCGTCGAAGACGTCAAAAGTACAAGGCGTTGGTTGTGGACTCTTGTCAACAACACAAATTGGCACATTTCGAGTGCAATAATTCCAACTTTTCAGTAACGTTGAAGGAAGAAATCCACTCTCAAAACAAACCTGTGAAAATGTTGAAGTGTTTACTACTCCGAGTATAATAGTAACGTTAACCCTATCGGACGAAAGTGATTTCAAAGCAAGTGTCGATGGATTCAGTAGTCTCACTCGACCATCGCAATACTAGAAATATACCTATAGGACACGGCTCCATCCCCCGATGTTCTAGCACATCTAGCACAACTTTATTACATTCACTCTCCACTGCCTATCACAATAGCTCAACAAGGTCCACACTTGGCACGTCCACGTGCTCTTCGTTAGCTCCCTTGCTGAAGTGCATCCCCATCATGCCCATGAAGACAACGATCTCGTCTGACAGAAGGTCCACGGGCTCGACTGGTGTCGTGAATGTTGCAGGTGCAGGCACAACTGTTGGGAGTAGTAGGCGGGATACGTGACGGTGTGCATTTTGCTTGCGCTGGGCCATGACTCGCTTGAGTTGGCGCATTTTTGCATCGGATTTGCATTGGATTTTGTTGTGTCGAACCCGGTGGACCTCGCACAACGTGTGGGGCTCCCCCGTGCGTTTGAGAGTGCGCTCGTTGGGGCACCGACCTCCTTTGTACTGGCACTGGCCGCGATATGGGAGCATCGTAAGGTTCACGTAATGCTAACGTCGCGAACACAAATGAAAACGACGATCGTCGGTTCGTACAAGGAACAATCGAACGCTCACAGGAAACTTTTCCAATTCTATACTAAAAAATCCCCTGTAGAAGCCCTGGATTTATGAAATCCAGGAAATTAAAGTACCATGTTGTGTGTGCCGCATTTCCAAGTCGAATTGAACCTTACGCCATCCAACGCATGCATGGCGCGAGTTTCTGGAATACGTCCAAAGGGCTTTCACGTACACATTCCGAACTACCGTACAGTAGTAGCTAGCCAACATCAGTGTTAACGTTACTACTACATTATGTCCACGAAAGTCGCGATTTCTTCCGGGAGCAGCTCCACGATGGGCACGGAATGCACTTTTTTTATTAGGAGTACCTTTCGATTGTGGGGGGCTGGGGGGTCGGAGTACATTCTTTTGCTTGCGCTGGGCCAACACTCGCTTGAGCTGTGTCGGATTTGCATTGGATCTTGTTGTGGCGGACGCGGTAGGCCTCGCACAGCGTGTAGGTCTCACCAGTGACCCACACACTTTGTCAGTTGGGGCACACGCCGCCCTTGTATCGTCCGTCATTGGCCACAATATGATTGGACAATGGTTTGAGACTAGGCCAAGGCGAAGGTGAAGGCGACTCAGAATTGAATTTCCTCCAGTTAACGTTACGACTGTACTAAGACTGACTGGTAGAAGGGCGACTTGGTGGAATGATCCAAATCATTTACGCCAGCGAAATGGCGAGTAGTATTTGACATATAAACATCGAAAGTGAGTGAAAAGTTGAATGGTGCGAAATGCAGTTTTGACCATGGCTATCAAAGCGTGGGCACATTCAGAAATGCAGGTGACTTGGCAGTACTTGAATTAGTCTACTCTTGACACTTTCCACTGCTTCGTGGTCTAGTGAATTGGTATACCTCGTTCCCTATCAAGACAAACAACACATGGCAATAATCCATGTACTTATGTGACCGAAACAATAGCACAAATTGCCAGGACTGGTGGCCAAAAACGTCAGCACGAACGGTCAGCAGCTGCGGCGGCGTTACGTGGAAAACCAGCTCGTGGATTGCTTCAGTGGGACAAACTCACATGTCATATACATACACGCGTACAGTGTAGTACACTCACATTTTGAAGTTCTCGCTCAATTGTGTGCGGTTAGGCAGTATATTCCATATCGAACACGGACGGGGGGAAACCGCAACTGTTAGCATGTGGAGACAAATCCTGGCCAACGTTTTCAAAGGCCTGTGTAGTAACGTAGTTCAGTGCAGCCAACGACAGGATACGCGATGCCAACTGGGATTACAACACCTATCGCTTCATCTTGACCATTTCTAACCAAAGCACTTGATGTGTTTCCATGGCACGACGTGTACAGATCTAGACTTATTTCCTCATAAAGCCCCCAGGGGCCGTCCACTTTCTCTCGACGGGTTTGAGGATCTGAAAACTACACAGAAGCGCTTCGTCCAGCACCATCATGGCGCCGGCGTTGTTGAACTCGCCGCAGTAGTTTGGTGCGCTGAAGATCGTCACGACCTTTCGTCCGCCAAAGAACTCGTACCCGTCTTCCACGACCTGATGGGCGCGACAGATCATATCGAGGTCGTGTCGCTTGAGAAATTGGACGACCACGTCCACGCCAAAGGTGTAGCTGATGCCGCGGTCGTTCTCGCCCCAGCCGAGAATGTTAGCCTCGGGGTCGGCCCACAAGAGGTCAGCGAGGAGACCTGTCTCGGGCATGGGCGCCGGTCGCGCGAGCCGAGTAATCTGCTGCATGTCCAGGAGCTCGGGGGAGAGCCCGCCGTGCATGCAGAAAATGCTCTGTTCGACGATGGCGGCGACGGGAAGGCAGTCAAAGGTGTCGCAAAACATCTTCCATAGCTTGACGTTGTACCGGCGCTTGCATTCGTCGTGGAACCCGTACAGACGATTCACAGACGAGTCTTCGTGGTTGCCGCGAAGGAGGAAAAAGTTGTCGGGGTATTTGATCTTGTACGCAAGCAGCAGCGCGATAGTCTCGATGCTTTGCTTGCCGCGGTCCACGTAGTCGCCAAGGAAGAGGTAGTTGGAAAGGGGAGGAAACCCGCCGAACTGGAAGAGACTTAGCAGGTCAAAGTACTGGCCGTGGAGGTCGCCGCAGATTTTGATAGGCGCGTCCAGGTCGAGCAGCATGGGCTGCGCCATAAAGCACTTCTTCGAATGCACACACAGGTACCTCAGCTCCTCTTCTAGCAAGTTCACCTGCTTTCCTGGCCGCGCCCCACGCACGCTTAGCAGTTTGTCCACGATCACATCGACATTCACTTGGTCCGATGCCATGACAATGTCGGCGAATGCAAGTGTCTGAGGAATGTGCCGTCACGAAATGCCATTGGCTATCAAGTTTACCTTTTAGCCAATGGAAGTTCTTATCCAACGAATCCGGATAATGTTTTATTCCATCCGAAATCCACCTTACCGTAGGTGAGACCAAAGTAAATTGGATGAGTGTGGTGAAGAAAGGAATTTGGACGGAGCATGTCGATGCGGCGTCAGGGGTAAGTTGCTCGTGTGATGCGGGATGCGACGTCTAAGAGTAGATCGTTGATCGCATATAGCGCTCATATTACTTCAACCTGGTTCACGGACGAAGCTACTGGGAGTTACCGGAAGAGCTGAAAGCTACGGTCATGCGACCTCTGGTCGAAGTAAACGCTGCTGCTGCTGCAGCCGACGTGGCGCGTGACGATACAATCGGGGACGACACACCAGCTCTATCGCGTCCATCTCAAGAAGAATGCGTTTCAACTGAACCATCCGCTTCCCGTGCATCTTTGATCGATCCGAATGCCGAAGAGACATTTTCAAGTCGGATTCAACAAGCCATGCAGCGCCAAGAGGAACAACGACGACACCAACATGACGAACATAGATCACGCTCGTAACAAATATGTCGCAAGGTGGTAATAATGTGACTTCAAGTCTTGTAAGCCTACTGGACCGAGTGGTCTACTGCCCAGACGGTGCCATCAACGTGCTGCCTGTGTGCCTTCGATGGGGATTTGCCTAGGGGGAACAAACATCCTCATCTGACATGGATACATGTGAAGGAAAGCGCACCTTGTATTGCCGCAGCCGTTCGTCGAATGATGTTGGGACGAGGGTGGCGTCGCTTGTAGGCGGCGGCGCCGGATTTGATGGGTTCAAGTCGAGTAGTTCCCGAATGAACGAGATCTTCGAGAGAAGGAACTTCCACACTGTGATCCATCCCAGAGACAAGGTCACCAGCAAGATGCAGATAGCGCCAAACACATACACCCCGCGAGTCACATACTCGTCCATCGTGTCCTACTTCGTCGGTAAATGCAGAATCCAACTCGGACAATTAATATTCATTTGGATAGGTATATTGCGAAAGCCAATCAAACAGGTCCATTTCAAATAAATCACAAGTATTTTAACCAATCCATTTCCTCAACATCTGCCACAGTAGGCATTTGCCCTAAAAGTGATTATTATCGCGGGGTCACCGGATTGGCTATAATTTGAATACATGTCATGAAACACTAATATAATTACATGTAGCTCCATTCTCACTGGGGGTAGGATAGAGTCCCAAGTTACAGGGTACGAGAGGCTAAATGCTAGTGATGAGAAACATGTCTATATCAGGGGATGTGTAGTGTACAATACACTTTGATTATACGTGTCCAAGTAGTACTGTGCAGTGAGTTAAATAGTGTAAAGACTGAAATGATTGGATAATAATCAACGAATAATCAATGACCAGCAAATATATAATCTGGAGGCGGGGAAACTGGCTCCCATTTTTGGGTTCTTTCCCCCCTTGAGGCATTGGGATCACACTGATGCTGCCCAATATGCCTCCGAATGCGGTCGTCCGTGGGACAAATGTGGCGGCTGTGGCGACGCAGCAGCAGCATGCGTATCAACAACAACAGTCGTACGAGCAAGTGCAGTACGAACAGCATGCTCAACAGCAGCAGTACCATTACGACCAGCAACAACAACAACAACAGCAATTCGCCCACCTTCAGGCGGCCTATGACCACGCCGCCGCTGCTGCTGCTGCAGCCGCTGTCGCAGCATCCACCAACCAAGATCAGGCACCTTCTTCGTCCTTCGAAGACCACACGCCACCGTCTCCTCCGTCGCAGTCGTTCGAGAATGCCTACGGTGCACCAAACTTGGACGCATTTTCACTCGGTGGCACCGTCCACCACGACCCAAAGCCGCCGGCGAAGCGCAAGGGCGCCTTTCGTCAAGAACATGCAATCAAGTACGGACTAAAGGTCATCGGGCCAACGACCGCGCCCGTCTCCAAGGTGCAATGCATGTTTTGCGTCCATTACGGCCGCGAAGTGTCGGCCGACGACACAAAGCGAAAGATGAACGTGAAGGGCATCAAGTATTGGACGCCGCCCTTCCGCACCGATCACTATGCGATGCACCACGACCTCCAACACAAGGTGATGTTCCAGCACTACGAGAACTCGTCGTCCCAAGAGCGATTGCACTTTTTCGAGCCAGACACTGTGCATCGATTACGGCATCTGGTTCCCAAGGTCGCGTCTTCCTCGTCCCTGGATAACATGGATAAATCCAAAGACAACAAACCGTCCACGAAACGCGGCAAGACGTCCCAGTCTCGAGTCGACCCGACCCCTACTAAACCAACGCTGGATCCATTCAAGATGATGCTGCCACCGACAGAAATCCCCCATGACATGCAGACGCTAGTTGACATCTACGTTGGCCATCACTACACGCCGCTCGAAGAAAAGTGGAAAGCATTGACGACCGTCGCGTCCCTCGTCGCCCAACATGTCCGCAATGGATTCCTGGAAACCCACATCCGCCGCGCGCTTCTCGCCGGCGCGTCCAAGTCCGAAGTCGTCCAAGTGATCATGCAATCCGCTTCGTTCATTGGACTCCCCAAGACTATGGACGCGATGAAGGTTGCACACGACGTGTTCTTGCAAGGCGCGGCCGACAGTCAGAATCAAAACACAGTGTTCTTGTAACGAACGATATATGTACCATGTTGTGAGTTGTTCCACGGAGGTATGCACATGTCCATCGACGAAGCGGCGCATTTTCCGCGGCGATCGTGCCGGAAGGGAGGGGGTTTCCTCGTACTCTGCCGCCCGGAAATGTCTTCTCCTTGTGCTTTGGGGGGAAAGTTTGAAAATGATGACTTTCGAGTGTTGATTGGATCGATTTAAACCAATGTCAAACATTTTTATCCAATGAAATCGACGTATTATTGCTACCACGGCTTTCTCATTCCGATAGACAGACCAACAACGGCAATGGATGTGCAGTCAATGCTGGCACAGATCCAGGAGAACCACCAGGCTTCTCTGCATGCGTTGTCCACCCAAGTACATGCTCTTCGAGACACATGTGACCTCCAGGAGAAAGAGATCCAGCTTCTACGACAAACCTTTGCCAGGGACAACGCGAAAGCCGTTGTGGAACGCATGTTGCTGCGACGACAACTTGAAGAAGCTCGCGCTTCTGCTAGTGCACTAAGCGAGACAGTGACGTTGCTGAACCACGAGCTGCAGACCAAGTCCATGGAGTCCGATGATGTCGATCAGGTCACGACATCGCCGCAGGTTGACCCGCAACAGCAGTCAGCACCGACCTCTCCCACACTGCGGACATTGCCTTCTCGTAATGATGTGTCTCCTACTCACAGCAGTGCATCTGCACCAAGTCGCTTATCCTCGTCGCATGGACTTCCACAACCGCGTCCATTGACAACAGCATTGCCATCCTCGAACTCGCATTACGGCTACGAATTCGACGGCCTTGCTTCCCACGCAACCGTGACCTCTCATAGCCCGCACCGCCGTCCCAACTCGTCCTCCTTCGAACCCCACTCGAGCTATCGAATACACGAGCATCAACCGTTGTCCCCCATGTCATCGCCATCCATAGGCCACCGGCGGCGGCGGCGTCGTGACAGCTGCGAGCACATGCTGAGTACCACCACTGTCGACACGAGTATGGACTTTAGTTATCCCTGGACGACCACGTCTACTGCTGCATCCTCGTCCAAACCCCGTCCGCAGCATCCCACCAGCCAGGCCGTGTTACTATCGTCGCCGCCCCATCGCCAGCAGCGACGGGATCTTCAAGTCTACACCATGCACTCCGTTTCCCCAAGTCTTCCATCCCATGAGGAGCAGCTGCCACCTCGGCGCCCTTCCACCGACAGCACACGTCCGAAGCGAAGCAGCCCCATCTCGAGCAGTTCCCGCCTCGACCAAGAGCTCAAGAACTTGCGAGCCAAGCTCCAAGCGTGCTCGCGGTCTTCAGGAAGTTTATAGTACTTCGAAGTAACACAAACACATATTGTCCTTTTACCCAAAATTTGGCTATCGATTCTGATTGTCCAGTATCACACTAATTTCAGTCACACACTAATTCGGTGTTGACTTGGTCGTCGACGAGTGAATTTGATTGGCCACTTGATTCGTGTTCTGGGTTTTGATTGGTCGTATATCGACTGTCTGCCGATTTCATTCGATTGACGAACACTCCAATTTCGAATCGACTTGACAATAATAGTCGATGTCACAGTGTCGTCCAATTAGAAACGGAATAACTACGTAGTCGTTGTGAAGCCACGGTATCGCATTCGAAGGCCAATCCTAACGTTGTTGTAGTCGTCTTCATGATACCGGTATGGCAATTCATAAACGGATTAGACGTTGTTAAGCATTTTCGTATGACGGAAGGTTGTGAAAGGCGTAGCCGCGCCAGCCCTGGTATGCGCCGTAGAGCTGGAACGTGGCATAGCTGCCGGGAATGAACGCTAGAACGACACACATTGAATGATCATCACGATGAACGAAGGATAGGTACATGTATACCTATGACACCTAGGAACAAGTGTGACACCCCATTGCCTTCCACGGCCGACACAAACCCGAGGATGAGCAGCACCTAATGTAGAGCGAGTGGAGATACATGCAACGTGATACACGCGTGCGTACGTACGATGCCAACGACAAGCAGCAAGAGCGCCGCCGCCGCTGTGCGCACGGGGATCTGGGAGTCCTGCACGGCGTCCTTGAGCTTGGTCCAGTACGCAGTCACACTCGTGGTGGGCTGGAGAACCTTGGAGAAGCTGAATGTGCTGCGTGTGAACCCTCCAAATCCACCTCCACTGCTGCTGTTGTTGTTGTTGGTATCGCTCGAGTTGGCGTGGCTGTTGTTGTGTCGAGGAACGTCGTCTTTGAGATCAATGTCTACGGTAGCCGCATCGTCATCTTGGTCCTAAGGTTACATGCGAAGTGAAGAGTCGGTGGAATGGATCATAAGGACACATCGTCCACGAACTGTGTGGAGGTTTGAGGTGTACCTTAGATAGGGCAGCTGCTTCCAGGACTTCACGAGGAGCGACGGTACTCATCATGCTGATCGACTTGAAATAGCGGACGCAGTCTCGGCTTCAGGTTCTTGGTCGTTCCATCCCAAAATACCGCCCAGTAGCAGGCGCTGCACATGCCGGCTTCAACTTCCGGATACTTTATCCGGTATGAAGACCCATATCCGGATGGATGCCCTTGAGCGTCGCAAACTTTCCACAGTTGAACAGTCACGCCTCGGCATCATGGTCAAGGACGCGACCAAGCAGCCCTTCATGGCGTCGGCGGACCTCGATCCATGCACGTATGCTATCTCCCCGGTATGTCGCTCCCCTTGATTATACAAGTCTCACGGACCAGCATTACTGTAGACGTCGAAAGGCGTATCGCGCTGGCACCGTGCCAAGCAACGCTTCCCCGTGCGCACGGGGCTGGCAGCGGTCGCTTTGTTTTCTCTGGGCTCTGTACGATAACCATAAGTGGCATATCCACGTCTCACTGACAGATGTGCGCCTAGGTCTTGTTGTACGTGAGTACGTTGTTTGGGCTCGACGGCGAGCGCAAGGGGCTTTCGTTTTTCGTCCTTGGACTCATCAGTACGTCCTATGTATGATGTTCCTGCCTCAAAGGATTTGATTGCGTAGCGTTTATCCCTGGAAGTTATGCCACGACTCAGCTCTACGGGGCTTACAAAGGCTGGCACGGCTACGACTATAGCCAAATCCCGTCGTACGACGACTAGTTCGTTGTTGTTCATATGCCAGCCAGCCACCCTTAGGCCACTCCTTCGCCACGTAGTGTTTGAATCGGTTGAATGCAAAATGTGTGTCTTGTAACTGCCTCGTGTGAGATCAAACAGTTTCACGTGGCACCCGCAAGCGTTTCATCAAAGGAGTGGCTATTCTGGGCAAAACACGCACCAGGACGGACGACCACCGTGAATGGTCTCGGACGCGACTACGACGCTCCCGAGTTTGCCGTCGTCTCCGCCAGCTGCCCAGTCATCTCGACGAAGTAGGACCGACATGACACACAGTAGTAGTAGCAGTAGCCGAAGCAGTAGTACCGCGTACGACATGACGAGTCTTCCGACACCGCGCAGCTCGGGTGCGTATTACGACGCCCAAGACTCGCTGGACGACGTCGACGGGCTGCCGCACGATTCGGCGTCGATGGCCCACCACGGTGAGTTTTACACTGAAGTCGAATCGTTCTTGAATCGACCCAGTCCCAGGTACAGTCCACCCAACAAAAAGCAGTAGCAGGAGCAGTAATGTGTATTGTGGACACGCTTGATCGGTGTTTGGTGGTTTATGTTTCAGCTTGGGCACGATCGCCAAAGGCGCCAAGTCCACAGAGAACCTACTGCCCGCCTTGAAAGCCGAGCGGTCGAAACTGCGCGGCGGCGGCGGGTCGGACCAGCCACGACCGGATGTACCCGGCAGTGGGTATGGCCGTGTAGAGAAAGGCAATAAGAAGAAGGCGGCGCCGTTGGACCTGACGCTGGTGCAGCAGGCGTTTGCATACGCTAACGAACTACGGGTAAGTTCGTAGCTCCACTTGGAAGCCACGGATGTTGCCGATGGTGGAGTTGTTATGCAATGAAGTGGTGATTCAGTTATTGTTTGAATAGGCTCAGGAACTCCAAGCGAACGATGCAGCAGATGACTCGAATGATGCGATCGCGCAGCATTTGGCCAAGCATGGAAAGCAACACCAGGACCGGCCGAGCCGGAGCAGTAGCAGTAGTACCAGTGGCACTTTACAGAAACAACACAAACCAGCAACCAAGCCCAGTAAGCCCAAGGCAGCCAAGAAGACGTCGGCCATCTATGGCGTGCCCGCCAAGCAACAGGTGAAGGCAAAAGCTGGGCCGGATTGGGACAGCTGCAGCAAGGAAGTGACCACAAGTGGCCAAAACAACTCGAGCATGGACCCCCAGCTGATGCAACAATTGGTCAGCAACTTCCAGAACGGCACCATGTTGCACGAACTACGCCAAGAACTGGCCGCGTCCCAAGCCAGCATGAAGGAGTCGCGGCAGGTACTGCAAGGCGCGGCCAAAACGTTCTTTCTCAAAGGAGGCGGGTGATGCTAGTGCTCATAATATACACACGCTCGAGTACGCTGCATCGGATGGAGGCTAGTTATGGATGGTAGTAAGTGTATTTAGATAGTCTGGATGAGATGCTTGTAGGTAGCGGAAAGATACTGAAGACATGGCCGTGTTTTAGCGCTATTGTGTGGCGACAGTACTACCAGCACACGTCCACGAGCCTGTCGTAGATGTAACCCAGTGAAGCCACTTTGATGTAAGTACAACGACGACATCCACCTGCGCATTATCGCATGTAGTTGTGTTTGACGAATATACTGGCAGAACGAATATTGTTGACGTAGACTCAGGGAGCACTGATACGTTTCCTTACTTTGGCTTATATCGACAGCGGTGTCCATTAGTTCTTGTCCAGTCCACGCAACAGTGCAGACGAGTTCTTGGGCGGCGCATCGGGGTTGTTGTAGTCGATGTGGTCGAAATCGTTGTTGCCGCGGTTGCGGAGGCGCAGTGGATGGCGGGGCTGGAGGTAGTAGCGGTCAGGCTCGCCATTCTTCAGCCACTGGTGATTGTCCTCGCCATACGCGCGCTGGCGGTAGGTCGTTTGGTTTTCCGCGAATTCGCCAACGGGACCCAAGTGCGTCTTGTACGGCGCATTGCTCCCGCTGACAAGAGACACCTTGGTCCAGTTCTCAGGCTAGCAGAGAAGGGAGATAAGTCCAAGGAGGCCGAGCAGCTAGGACGATGATGACGTTACCTTCTGGCCTGGGTCCGTGGGCTTGGCGTCGGTGACCTGGTGCAACCACAAGTGCCACTCGGGGGGAATCTGGTCTCCGCCGAACTCTTGGTGGGTCTGCACTTTGAATTCAGTCCAGCGCTGTTGGCCCGCGACTTCGGTCACGTCCTCGTAGTACTTGTTGCCGAAGCGGTCTTCGCCCACTTCCTTGCCAAACTTGATGTCACCAGGGTTGTACAGCTTCCAGAGGCAGTTCCAGAAGCCATAGCGCTCGTACGCTTCCTTGTACTTGTGCGCCACAGAGATGAACTGACGCTTCTGCGTCGGGCCAGTCACGGCCGCCACCACGCGCTTAGTGACCACTGCCTGCATGAATGTGCTTGCTTGTTACCTAGTTCCAAACCACCCACATGCAGGGCTGGCACTTCGCCCTCTGAAACTTAGTACCATGTGCTTTTACAGGTTTCTAAAATTACGACCAAATATAGAGTATATATTTGGTCGTAATTTTTATGGCATGGTAGGACTTGGTAGGACAGTTATCCGGAATCCGGTTAAAATTTGTTATACGGATTTAACCGGTTGATGTTGTCCCAATCATGCAGCCCCCCCACACACAAGGGCTGCTGACAAAAGTTTTAGGCGCCCCAAAGGCTCTTACGCTGGTCTATCATTGAACAGCATCGCACGTGCAGGGCTTTGCGCCACAAAAACCTGAGATCGGTTTTGGAGGTCTGCCTTTAATGTGACACATTCGACATTGAGGCAATGTGAACAATGGATGTATTTGAATTTTGAGCTGTACCGCATGCACTTTTTCGGCATGGACATGGTGTGACGCATTGCGACTGGCAGTTGTCACTTGGTAGGCAGATTCCGTTGAAGTTATTATGGAAAGTCACTGTATTGCAAGGACTTCCCTGGAAATGAGACTAAACTATTGCAACCCATATTCGAAACGTTAGTAAAACCTAACGTTAGTCTAAGGTCTGTGCAATGAGACCTTGACGTGCAGTGTTGGTACATTGCGTACTGCAAATGACGCCATCATGATTCACATTCCAACAAATCAGTCGCAAAATGGATAACGTTATGCCCTTAGGCGATGCCCAATTTAGTGCAGTACACAGGGCAGTCTGGTGAATTCTACAGAGGTTCATTAATCGGCGCTCCTTGACTGTAAACTGTGGGTGGACTACTGTACGTACACCCTGGGAAGAAAATTGTCTTCGTTGGGGCAATGGATCCTGTGCCCCAAATACCGATTATTTTCACGAAGTACGGTATTTCGGGGGATACGAATAACTGCTGAATTATACGGATGGTAGGACTTGGTAGGGTTTTGGTAGGAAATGGTAGGAAACAAAAACACCATATACAGGACCGCAGTAAAAAGCACTATTTTGGTCCGCGACTCGAATACATATTAATATTTTACCTTGTTCTTATAGTTCTCAAATAAGTTACTCATAGTAAACAACTATGCGCCGAGGCAATCGCCAACACCGATCTCAGTGGCTGCATAGCCAATTTATAGAGCTATGCCCAGTGACGTTAATGACCTACGGGAACTCGTCATAAGCTGTAAATATCTAATTACACTGTACTAGTGGTAGTCAAATAGTAGTATACTTCCCGGAGTACGTAGAAGTGGGGTAATATGTTCGCTCAGCGTTTCAGGAATTAATTGTTCCGGATAATTTGGCTATCGTCCGGATATGAAAAGCGCCGCGACCATCGATTTAGCAGCAGTGTTGATTTCTGCCCTGCATCATGCGCCATCGCCTTGCGTTCCGTCGGCTGGGCCGTCCCACCGAGCACCGTCTGGCGCTTCTCCGCAACCAAGTGACGTCTCTGATTGAGCACGAACGCATCCAGACCACATTGCCCAAGGCCAAGGAACTCCGCCGTCTGGCCGACCAAGTGATCACTTTGGCCAAGCAAAACGACCTGCCCGCGCGTCGCGAAGCCGAGTCGATCATCCGCACCAAGCCCATGTTTGACAAGCTCTTCGACGTGTTGGGTCCTCGCTACGAAGACAGAGCAGGGGGATACACACGCATCCTCAAGAGCGGCTTCCGATATGGCGACAACGCTGAGATGGCCGTCATCGAGTACATCGACCGGCCAGGCGAGCTCCGACGCCCTCGCCCCGGCAACGCCAAGAAGACCGATTAGATCTGTAAAGGAATACTACATAAACCCCCCAACAAAACCATGTTGAGATATCCAAGGGTAGCATGTCCGCTTCTGCATAACGTTGTGGTAGGCCTACATTCTCCTTGCGTTCTTCCCGATCCTATCCATACCTTAAGCTCACGCTGAGTTTGGTCAAAAGTCCTGCTACGTACGTACACAAGTCTCGGCATTGTATTAATAGTGATGATAAATTCACGAACAAGCAGGCCTCACGTTAGCATGATCTTTTGATTTTTGATACAATATATATAAATTACTAATATATAATATATTTAATTAGCCCCATCTACCGGTAGATCTAGTTACTAGTGGGGCTTATCGACGGCTTATTCATACAAAATGTGGACGCCAGTACCAGGTACTCTGAATCATGCACTCAAAATCCGATTTGCACATTCGTTAGGCCTGCGTAGGTTTCGATGGTTGAAATTATATTTGTTTGGTGACCAGATTAACTTGATGGCCTCGCCCGGAGCTGTTCGCTTGAGGAGGCAATCGGGATGGCGGGCCCGTCGTCGTGCGCTGCTTCTTCACACCTACGACGACATTACATGCAAAGTCTTGCTCAGCGATGTACCGCTGTGATTTCGCCTTGCTTGGACAAGTCCTTCGCTGTCGGCAATACGATCGTTTACCATCCTCAACACCAATTGCGCCTTGGAAAAATACTTAGAATCAAGGATGGAGGAACGATGAGGGAATCTTTACCTTGGCGAGCCGCTTGCTGAGCTCCCGCATGTGCGTCATGTTGGCTTTCCATTGTGCCACGGCCACGGCACCTTCCATGGACCATTCGTCCTCTGGAGCGTCCGCCCCCACGGCATATTCCGCCACGTCGTCGGCATGAAGCGTGTATGCCATGCGATATGCATCAAATTGTGGGACGGTGGCACTGTACCATTTACCTAGGATTCGCTTGCATTGGCGACATAGCAGATCGTGGAACGTGTTGCCAGCGTCCTCGCCGCCGGCAGCTGCGTGGATTGGCACAGTACTGCGGATGATGTTCACAACGAACTTGAGTGTGAAAGTCCGTCGTTCCTCGTTGACGTGCATCAAGTTGACAGAGTCTCCCACGATCACACTGCATGTCTTGCATTGAAACACCACCAGCACCTCCGTCATCTCATCGGCCATGTTGACACAAAATTCAAATCTTGAAGGACGCCCATTGTATCCGGGAAAATCTCACTATCCGGACTACTGCGTAGTACTATTAATAGTACTAAGACTTAACGTTTCAGTTGTACTAACTAATGCTGTGAATGACAGGTACTGTAGTGGGAGAAAAAGTTGTAAATTGAATCCCTCTCCATTTCAATTCAAAGCACTTTCATTCCACGAAGATGACTTGGGTTCTATTTACACGTTAGGAAAAGAACTTGAGTTTCTTGGCGGGCGAGTCCATGTCATCTGGCCCCTTGGACTTTCGGTTCTTGGGCGGCAGTCGGTGCTTCCACAGCGTGCAGTTGGCCAAGTACTTGGGGCACTTGTCGTGGCGGTTGGTACCGTTGCATTTTTCGTTGCCGGTTTTGTCAAACCCTTCGCACCACGTCCATTGAAAGTGGTCGCAACTTTTGATCTTTGGCCCTTCGTACGTCAGTGGCACCACGCGCACGAGCACGGGGGCCACGTCATCCATAACATCCTGCCCATACCAAAGTCAACTGACCATTGAACCATACAAACTTGTGCACATACAGCAGGTAAGAGGTCAATCATACCCTAGACAGCGCCGACACAACCACAGGGCCGGACGCGTCTCCTCCACTGGACGGAGTGACCGCGTACTGCTTTCGCTTCAGTTCCGTGCATCGATTGCAAATTTGAAACGCGCTTTGAAACGCTTCCAGCGACAGCATGTCGCTTTCCGATCGAAACAACGACTGAGGGAATGGAGTCGTGGTGATTTCGTTGGGCGGAAAGAGGAGGCTCAGGTTCATGGGGGCATCTTCCTTGATGCGGTGCTTTGTGAGCATGGTTCTAATAACCAGACGTGTGCGTGGAATCAGCAAACACAGTAACCCCGCCCATCAAGGAAAAATAGCCAACTCTCGACCATAAGTAAAGAGAACGTAAGTAAGTCGAAGGTAAGCCTTACAAGAGATGGGGCAACTTGAGGCATTTCGTGACGGGGTCGCAGTGCAGAAAGAAGATGCGCATGAGTTTTTGCTCGGCTATGTCGGGGGATAGAGTGAATCGAGGCAGGGCTTTGGGCGTCTTCGACTTTGGACAACATAAACGACTGGCCATCACTTGTCCTAGACGCGACAGTTCAATACAAAAATACATGTGCCTACACTGTCAATGGCGATGGTACCGTGATATGTTGGGGACAAAAGGGCGTTGGCAGAGAGTCCAGTGTTTGGAGGAGCAGGGCGGGAAGGAAAATGTGTGGGATTGCCTGGAGATCGTCGATGGGAAGGGGGAGGTTGTGGGGGGGTCAGATGGTTAAAGTACACGGGTGACGTAAAGTGGATGTTGGGGGTGCTATTTGGGGCCAGAAGTCGGGTGTTTTGGTACGTTACTGCGGCGGGTTGCAGCGGTTGATATTGGGGAATCGAAATCGGCGTCGGGATGTGGATGCTCAGGGGATGGAACTTAGTTGAGTGGTGGTCCACGGTGTTGGTAGACAGCGGTGCTCCTGTTTGGTCGGCATACATGGCGTTGAACATGTCCAGCATATTGGGCAAGTCGATATCCGAGAGCAGTCCTGCGCCGTTGTCTTTCGAGTCTGTGGTCTGCCAAGTCTGCGATGGAGTTAATTCAATTTTGATCGGATTGGAGATGCTGCTGCTGCTGTCGTCATCGTCGTCGTCGCAGTATAACGCGTCTTCTACGGTCTTGTTTGTGTCACTCACATTGGTCGACATGCCTGCAAGGTGGAGGTACGAAGTGCTGCCGTTGCATGGTTCAGCTGGTCGAATGGAGTTATCCAGGCTGTTGCCACCCTCCGACTTTGCCCAATCGAAAACATCAAGATCGCTCCCCAAAGGAGCATCCTTTGCAGGCGGAGCCTGTTGCTGGCTTTGTTGCTGCTCGAGCTCGCATATTTGATTCAACGTATCACAGAGCATGTCTGAATCCTCCATCAACACAGGGTCCATTGGCTCTACAAGTGTACGTACGTACTCCGTGTAAGAAATACTCGGATGTACACCAGTGGGTTGTACCTTTGGAGCAGTCCATGTCCCCACCAAACGCGTCGTTCATGTCGAGCAACTCATGCGTTGACATCACAATCGACGAATGTAATGTACTACACTGCCAGGGCGTTGGGTGGATTTGTCTAAAAATAGCCCCAACACACCTGTTTGATTGGCTATATTAAATCGAAGCATAGAGGTCTTGAAATAAAGTATGACAGGGGGGGATTCATGCCCTCAACTGGGGAACCGTTGCCGTTTGTACTACTTACAGTACAATATGTATCTTACTGCCGTGCCTGCTCTCCAGTCTTCGAGTGACCCACACAAACCACAAACTGAAGACGTCACAATCACAGTATCCAACCGAAAACACTGCTAAATGTGCATACTTTAGCCGCACCTGCAACGCATTATGAAGCAAACACACTTGCACAACCGACTCATGGTGTTACTTTGGGAAGGGTGGATATCATACGGACAATAAAGTTACCAGCAGAACCACCCTAACTGATTGTGCACGCAGTTGTTCAATCCTACCTCCATACTACAGCGTGTTTGAATGTTCACGATGACGATGGGTGGTTTAGCTGGTTGAACAAATCGGACACTTTAGCTGACTAAACCTCTCTAATCGAGAATTCCCACAGCAACGCAGCCCAGCAGTACAGTAACGTTACCCAAACATGTCGATCGCTCTGTTCCATTGCGATTATGCACATAACGAGGCACAACCTCAAGACTCGACATGACAAAAACCTTCCGCGATTTTTGCACCACGGAAGGCTTTTGTAACGTTAATGTACTATTGTCAAATCGATTCGAAACTGGAGTCCTCTTAGGTTGTGCCTCGTTTTTTTTATTTTTTATTAAAATTATAGTCGACACTTCAACATTGGAGGAATGGTCCTACCGTGCCCTAATCGAATAATATATTTTAAATGTCCTAGCCAATCAAAGTGCGCTAGGAAGAAATTTCATCCAATCATGGATTAGAATAGTTTGGCCCAGTCAAAATATTCATCTCAAATGTGTATACCATATATTGAATAAGCTTAAAATCTAACTCAATTCGATTCTCGAATAATCGCCATGAGCGATTCAAAATCACGAAGTGAAACGTTTCAAGATTGTTCACCCGTTAAAGTTGATTTTGTTCAGCCGTTTCATATTGATAAAAAAGTGATTATAAATTATAATATACAGGGTAGTATTTTAGAGAGCCAAAAATTCTAAGGCATATCTTGTTTGAGTCCAGCGAACTACTACGTAACCATACAGGGTATTAATTTTGGTAGGTTGGTTCACTGTCAATCAGCACTTGTGGATCAGTTTCGCATCAACTACCCGATTCGTCAGTAGTTAGTCCTTGTCTGCCGGTTCACATGGGAGCTCGATGTTGTTGCGGCCCTCGCCCCGAAGTCGAAAACCGCGACTTGCATGCGCAACTGCTCAAGAATGAGCTTACCATGATGGCGTCCGCAGCCAAGAACGACACGCCTCCTCGCGGCGTCATGGTGTCGGCGACATCGCCGTCCATCACGAACAGCAGCTACGATGATGGAAACCTTCCTCACAATGTGGATTACACAACAGGCATCGCCGCCGACGGCGACGACGACCCGTTCGCGTCCCCTCGACACTTTGTAGACGAGACAGAGCTCTCGTTCAAGAGCGGCACCAGCAACGACTACGACCATCAACACGGCAACCCCCGCATGTCGTCCATGAGTAGTTTGAATGGCACAACGGTGGGAAAGGAAGGAGATTCGTACGAAGACAGCAGCTCCCGGTTCAAGTACAGCTCTCAAAAGTTTGATGAGTCGCCGTCGGGAAGCGGACATCACGGATGGGACATTTAGCATTGGGATGGATACATTACAGTACTATGTTGTGTTAAGGCTTTACATGTAATATCGTTTCGTTCATAAGTGTCTTTCGGTGACCGACCTACGTGGGGCGTGGTCAGAGTTCCCACGCGGCTTCAGCCGAAAACTGACCAACGTATCGAGGTGGTGCATACGCCTGGTCGTCGGACAACATTGCGGCCTTGTGGAGGGTGTACGAGCTGTACTTTTTCCAGCTGTCGTCTTCCACTTGCGGCAGGTTCTTGAGGTTGCTGTAGTTCGACTCGACGTTGTGGTGCCTTGGGCCACAGCCGCAGCAACTGAGGCGTTGCCCCATCGTATGTGTGGCCGTGTACGGATGCGACCTGGTGGTACTGAATTTCGGACTTTGGGGTTCCCACCACAGTTTCAAGATCTCTCGCCTGGCGTTTCGGATTTGGAAATATTAGTGTGTGACTGGTAATTAGTGTAACGTTTGCATTAGTGCTGATTCGCCAAATCAATCCATCGAGACTCGTCCAGTTTTACACTAATTACATTATCACACTAATTGATGTTGAATTGGTCGAAGAGTGGCTTGGATTGGCTACTCGATTGTTGATCTGGGTTTTGATTGGTCAATCGATTGTTTGCTGATTTGGTGTTCATTCGATCGAGCACCCCACTCCAATAACGAATCGACTTGACAATACAACCTAACTCCGAGGAGTCATTTGAAAGTCCAATTAGTGTAAGAACACCTCTGTACGTTTCCATTTCCAACCAGTTAACCCAAGCCGAATGCCTCTAGGAACCAGAGGATTCTTGGCCAATCCAACATGCCAAGGCATTGGCAGTTTGGCTGCGCATCAGAAACGTCAACTGCCCGTACGTACGTGTGCGTATTGTACGTGCGTACAGTACATCGTACATGAAATAAAATACATCCATACAAACCCCAAGTGACAATAAATGACACACATAAAACACAGGGATGAATGTACGCCGCCAACTTTTGCGCTCTGCCTTCCTACACTTTCTTCGAGTGCGATGGACAACTACCGGAAGGTGAGCAAGATTGGCGAAGGGACGTATGGTGTCGTGTACAAGGCTGTGGACCTCAACACCAACCGCACTGTGGCGCTAAAGAAGATTCGACTCGAGTCCGAGGACGAGGGCGTGCCCAGCACTGCCATGCGTGAAATCTCGTTGCTCAAGGAACTGTCGCACCCGAACGTCGTGCATCTGTACGACGTGGTGCATCAAGCGGATAAGCTGTATCTGGTATGTCCACGGCCTTACTCTTTGTCCCTACTACATCACCATGTTGTTGTACAGGTGTTTGAGTTTCTTGATCACGACCTGAAGCACTTCATGGACCTGCACGGCCCGACGCTCGTACCGTTCGTGCTTAAGCGATATGTGCATCAAATGCTCTTGTACATCCTGTCCCTGTCTCCATCTACCAATATCTCATGTTCTTCAAAGGGGCATTGCGTATTGCCACTCAAACCGCGTCCTCCATCGAGACCTCAAGCCGCAGAACTTGCTCCTCGACCTCCAGGGCAACTTGAAACTGGCCGACTTTGGCCTAGCTCGCGCCTTTGGGATTCCCATTCGCAACTACACGCATGAAGTGGTGACGTTGTGGTACCGCGCGCCGGAGATCCTCCTCGGGGGATCGCATTATGCCACGTCCGTGGACATTTGGAGCATTGGCTGTATTTTCGCGGAAATGTTCAACCGCAAGCCGTTGTTCCCAGGTAGGGATGATATTCATTGTGACAGTTCCATGGACGACGCTTTATATCAGATTGAAAAGGTTATGTGTTGACGCAGGGGATTCTGAAATCGACGAGTTGTTTCGCATTTTTCGAGTGCTGGGAACCCCAGACGACCACATGTGGCCTGGCGTGAGCTCATTGCCGGATTTCAAAACTTCGTTCCCCAAATGGCAGCCGCAGCCTTGGATGGACATCGTGCCGTCGTTGGATGCATGTGGCATGGACTTGTTGATGGTATATAACCGAACGATGGTGGAATTTTAAAGGCTACAAATATGTGTATGCATTTATAGAGGATGTTGGTGTACGAACCTCGCCAACGTATTTCCGCCAAGCAAGCACTGGGCCACCCCTGGTTTGACGATTTGCAGCCGTCGCGCCAGCCACCTGTGCACCAACCACAGTCGCATTTGTATGCGTTTCACCAAACTAGTAATACTAGTAGTAGTAACGGCATGGCGCCCCCATACTAATATTACCTTAGTATTGACGGCAAATCTTGGTTTATGTGAACAAAATGCGGTTTCTGTCCTAACGACTATATGCATGTGCGATGTCAAGCCATATGCAATCAGTAATGAAAATTCAAAACAATACTATTAATAGTAGATACTGGTACTACGTAGTAATTGGGTTGGACGCTCAAGAAAAAATAAATAATTGTTGCCTTTAGTACTGTACTCCGCAGTACTACTGTACTGTAGGGCTAAATATTGGCATTACAGTAGGCCTCTGGTTAGAATATATCAAAAATATTGTAGAGAACAAATAATCAATAATTGAATGATTCACAGCTAAGGTGCTTAATTCCCGGCCAGCAAATGGCCAATCACAATCATCCATGGACTATGATTAGACAAAATTACGTACTCTTGTATCAAATACTTGTAAGATTTCTAGTAGTATTATGCTTGTCGGACATGTAATACAGTTTTTATATTAGTTGCACTTCTAAATTTAATTACTTGAATACTTTATACATATCATTATTAAGAGGTTCTGAGGATTTTGTCACACAAATCAGGCATACATTATTCAAGTGACTTACTGCCTGGGAATTAATTTCACATTGGAAAATTTGAATTTTAGAAATTCGACGAGTAAATTGACCGTGCAATACAAATGATGGGACCTGCATAAAGTTATAAAGCTCGTCACGATCTTCAAAATGCATGTTTTCGCAGCCTCATAGGATGAATGGGTACCGAGTTATGGCACTCAGAAAGTACGCCAAGCTGGCCGGGAATTACATGAATCAATTTATTATTAATAATACATGTTATCAATAATAAATTAGTATTCACAATACAATGGAATACATTTTATACTAACGTTTGTATACTACAGTACCAGTACAGGTAGTATAGCTTGCGCATTGCTGCGTGCATTCAAGAGTACTGTAGCGTCAATGAATCTGTAGGTACTGTATGAATGAAACTACTTCGAAGTACTGCAGTGTGTATACTGTTTCGTAGGGCGAACAACGATGGGTTCGTCGTTCCGGTTAAACTTGCCAATTGTGGTTCAATGTGAAAACTGCATACAAATAGCTGCGATGATATGATTGGTCAGAATTTCGAACATTTGGGCAGAAAATGCACATCCAACTCGCAGTTTTCACTGCCGTCAAGGTAATTAGCGCGGACGTCCAGTTGATGTACTTGAGATGTCTGTGTGTACAGTCGGTGTGCGTGTGTGCTGGGGATATGGAGAGACTGGCATAACATTACGAGGCCGACACGTTCTCTGATGTTATGCTAGGTTGGAGATGATATTTTTTATTACTTTAACGAAATATGTTTGGTGATGAAATTCCCGTCATCATTTCGAGGACATTTGGATCTGGGCGAAATTAATTTTAGCAAAACACACAATAATCACAAGTCTGTACAAGGGGACATTTGCTTGCGCTGTTGATGACCAGAGCCGCGGCATATGCACATGCAACGGACCTGACCGGTCGATAGCTCGACAGCTACATAATATGAAGGGTGGACGACGACATGAAATATTATTCAAAATCGACGTGGGATTACGTGGGGCGATTCTAAATACTGTTGACAAGCAAGTACACGACCATGGCAAGGACGCTGCCCACCATAACGAGGATATGGGTGGTCTGTTGCTCGATGCGCACATCACCATCATGCTGGTGGTGGTCGAGGTCGTCTCTGTTGGTTTCATGCGCACAAGCCGACGGCGCCGGCGCGAGGTGCTCGAGGAAGTGGTCCATGCGGTGCAGCTTGGCGTCGAGGTACGCCTGGTTGTGCTTCTGGGTCGGGATCAACACGGGGACGCGGGCCGTGATCTCGACGCCGAGTTCCGTGAGCAGGTGGATCTTGCGGGGGTTGTTGGTGCATAATTGTATCCTGGACAGATGGAAGTGTTGCAGGATGTGGAGGACTGGCTCGTATGACCGGTAGTCGTCTTCAAAGCCGAGCACGCGGTTCGCGTCCACCGTGTCCGCGCCCTGGTCTTGCAAGCAGTACGCGTGGACTTTGTTGGATAGACCGATGCCGCGGCCTTCCTGTGGCATGTAAATCAACATGCCTCGACCTTGGGCCACCATCATGGCCTTGGCATGGTCGAATTGTTCCTTGCAGTCGCACCGAAGCGACCCAAACACTTCGGACGTCACGCACTGGTCATGCACACGCACGTACATGTTGTCTTCAACGTCTCCATATACAAGCGCAATCGGCTCGCTCGCCCGACGGCAGCCTTGCGACCGGAACGCGTGCATGCGCCATTCACTTGTGCTCGTCGGCAGCGTCGCCGCCGACACGAACGACGTCGAGACCCCACACCCCATGCCGGTCAGCCCTGCTTTGTCCAAATCGCAGCACTTGAGAGGCTCCACGCACGTTGGCGCTGGCATGTTCCGCAACGATGTCATGTTCATCGGGCTGGGTCGACGTAGAATGCGACCGCTGCCAGCTTGCGAAACGTGGTCTGAGGCGAGTTGTGCGTAGTGGCCGTGGGCGTTTTTTATTGGTCGTGCCACGATGTCCATACAAACTCCAAGTGATTCTGTGAAGTGCGACCTTGAGTACCGTACTTTATAAGATATACCACGAATAATAAAGGCTCTCATCAAGGGCATTCTGAAAAAATTCAATCTGAACACTGCCGTTTCTTTGCTACGTCGAACTTCATGAAAGGGTTTCATCTTACTCCGAGTAACGCTAAGCTTAACGTTACGTGATTCGTACTAATAATATATGGTTATTATGCGTAATACTACGAAGTAGTGGTGCATTTTACTTGTTAGTTGGAAATCCTTTCAACACCTACAGACCAACTTGGCGCTCAAATGTCAATTGCCCCAAATAACACCCGTTTCCCCATTAAAAGCACCGTACTTCATAGGGTGTTATAATGGAGCGAGCAGTATGGATTCTCACAGTGAAAGAGAATAATCGACGACCTCCATGTACCATGCTAGTACTACGTAGTTATCAGACACATTCGATTCTACTACATCGTTCCATCGTGACCAAATCAAAACTATCTCGCAAATGTATGACGGCCAAACTATGCGACCAATGGCATTGTTGGACGACGAGGGTTTCGATTTTAAATGGTATACATTTTAACAGGTTTGACTGTGATGTTTTCGTCATCGTTGTAGTTGGGAATGTTGGTGCATCCTAACCTTCCTGGCCTTTCCGGAAACATCTTCTGGTCGATTTTGGCGGTGCCGACACCAAGCATCGAGAATGGCCACACGAGATCGTTATTATGTTCAAGTTCTACCACATCACGTGAGCAGGTGGCTTGTTTAACGATATAGCTTCGTCACTGACAGTCTTCCAAACACCCCTATTTGTATAGCTACAGTATATTTTGAATTGCATTTTCGTACTGATGGTGGACAACGTGAACAAATCAATCGCGTTCTACTAGCATACGTATATCAAATGAGTCAGAACACCCTGTTCTGTCATGAACATCACCACTGCCCTGAAACCTCAGGTAGCAGGATTGGCTGCAGCTATTATATATAGTTAGTACTACTGTACCTCCTTACGAAAAGAAAATGATTGATTGATTTGATATTTTTTGTGATTCTCAAAGAGTTTTCAGAAATATTACATTCCAAAGGTATCAGGTGATAGCGGAGGGTTTTGCAGTTGTAACTTGTGTGATTTCGCTTAATTCAGAGCATTTCGTCCAACATTTTTAAAGTTTGATACAAGTTTGAATATAAAACCCATGGGTGACAAAAATCAGTGCCAAAATGTCGGCCTTGATTGACCCTATCGTTTGGCGCTTGAATGGAGCCAACTTAGAGCGGGAAAACCGATTTGATCTCATTATCTCCAATGCCTCAACCTGTTGCAACGAAAAGGAACTTTGACATCGCAAGAACGCCGCGATATGTCCCACCACCTCTTACTCTTAGTGTCAACCAATGGGAAGCTTCCGCACGAGTCCTATCAAGCGTGTGGCGATAATGTTTGGTTGCAACTGGCAGACCATTGCGTGTTTGTGGCTACGTGCTGAGTTTAACCCAACATCAAACACGCTGTGCCAAGACGTATCGAGTCCTATCAAGGGAGTGGCTGGGCGAAAGCAGAACTGCACGGACCTTGCAGAACGAATTGCTGCGATTCCCAAGACTGATCGAACAACAATTCAAGCGATTGCACTATTCTTAACATGCCGCCAACTACACTGCATGGGTACTACAAGTATGGCCTCCTTGACCGTCATTCGAGCCACGTCAAGCCACTCCTCACGAATACCAAATAAAGCAGCACGGGTCAAGTAGGCCAATGGATTCGTGAATTGCGAGTCTTGTTGTCGATGACATGTGTAATGATGGCAAGGTTGCCGACCAAGAATACAGCTTGTCGCATCGTTAAGAGAACGATGGCAAGACTGTCGAACAAGCTAAAGATTGTCGCACCATTAGCGGGCAAGGCCGTTGAAGAAGCCGTAGAGAAAGAACATTTACTTCATGTAGTTTAGTATAGTATACATTTTCGTAGTTAGTAGTTTAAGACGACAATCTAATCACTTTCCAATTTACTCTGTGAAGCTCGCTACCGTTACAACATGAGACTACACTGTATGTTCACATTGATGAAAAATGGTTCTATATGCCCGTGTGAAGAAAACATTGTACCTTCTTCAGGGTGAAATCCCAAATCCAAACGATTCATCATCCAAGTGATGTTCATTTCGACTGTCGCTCGTCCTCACTGGAATCACTCAACGAATGAATAGTTTGACGGCGTGATTGGGACATGG